TGTGTGTCTGGGTGCGCTGTGTGTGTCTAGGGGTGCTGTGTGTGTCTGGGTTCTGTTTGTGTCTGGAGCTGCTGTGTGTGTCTGGAGCTGCTGTGTGTGTCTGGGGGTGCTGTGTGTGTCTGGGGGTGCTGTGTGTGTCTGGGTGCTGTGTGTGTCTGGGGGTGCTGTGTGTGTCTGGGGGTGCTGTGTCTGGGTGCTGTGTCTGGGGGTGCTGTGTGTGTCTGGAGGCTGTGTCTGGGGGGTGCTGTGTCTGGGGGCTGTGTCTGGGTGCTGTGTGTGTTTCTGGGGGTGCAGTGTGTGTCTGGGGTGCTGTGTGTGTGTGTGTCTGGGGTGCTGTGTGTGGGTTGGCTGTGTGTGCTGGGGTTGCAGTGTGTGTCTGGGGTGCTGTGTGTGTGTGTGTGTGTGTGTGTCTGGGGTGCTGTGTGTGGAGGTGTGTCTCTTGGTGTTGTGTGTGTGAGGTGTGTGTCTGGGGGTGCTGTGTGTGTGTCTGGGGGTGCTGTGTGTTTCTGGGGTGCTGTGTGTGTGTGTGTGTCTGGGGGTGCTGTGTGTGAGTTGGCTGTGTGTGTCTAGGGGTGCTGTGTGTGTGTCTGGGGTGCTGTGTGTTTCTGGGGGTGCAGTGTGTGTCTGGGGTGCTGTGTGTGTGTGTGTGTGTGTGTGTGTCTGGGGGTGCTGTGTGCTGCATTCCCTGGTGGTCCAGTGGTGAGAGTGAACTCTAACCTGCAGGTTAGAGTTCACTCTCGCGAGATCTGAGCGTTGCCGCGGCAACGCTCAGAATTTCGCGAGAGGACCCGGCGGAGCTGCTGGCTAGAGCTCCGCCGGATCCTCCCTCCCTCACCCAGCTGGTGGCCGCATCTCCCTGTCTGTGGGCCGGTGAGGGAGATCTTTGATCTCCCTCACCGGCCCATGGAGGCACATCGCAGGGCCGGCGCTCGGATAGTGCCGGCCCTGCAGGGGCCGGCCGGGGAGATCCTGTGATCTCCCTGCCGGCATCGGCCCCACGGCCATCGCGGCCCACCGGGCATTTGCCCGGTATGCCCGATGGCCAGTCCGGGCCTGCATACCAGTATAACCAACAAAATAATACATATACATATAACTAAAAACATAGCCCGCATACAGGAATACATTATAAATGTTGAAGAAAGACCTATACACCCCATCAGGCACCGTTTAGATACAGAGAAAATCCATAGAGAATACGTTAGAGATAAACAGCAGGCAGAACTAATCGAAAAGCGATCAAACTGCAATTAGCCTGTAGCAACCTATTAACAAGATATAAATATACAAACTGTACTACCTAAGGAATAGATAATGCATAAAGAAGACATGTAACTTATACTACAAATACAAAAATAAAATGCAGGCATGAGCAATCAAACCTGCAGAGATTCCAATCTAACTACAGGGAGCAAAGTACCAACAAACAGCAATTGAAAGCATAATTGTACCAAGAGTAATGTATCACTCCGAATCCTTAGAGATCATTATACAGGTAAAAAGAGTAGTAAAGGGTATACGTCGTCAGAACTTCTTAGTCAAAAAAGACGATACCAGATAAAGGGTGATTAAATATCCACCAACTAAACCTATGGGGAAAAGAACGTAATGCACAATAACCAGAAGATACAAGTATAGCCACTAAGTAGAGCTGCAGTGATCTAGAGAGAAGAGGGTACCAAGAATGACTGGTGTACTCCCAGTCTAGTCCAACATGAACACATAAATCAATAAATACATAAATAAACACATAAATAAATACATATATAACTCAAACACTCAAGCAGGAGAGCAAAGAACCAATGCATCCCCGAATCTATATAGACCGGCATACATCACATAATGCATACAGAATACAAAATAATACAAGCGAAGGACATAAAGCAAAGGTCCTTAACAAAATCACATTGTTATAGACATATAGTAATAAACCTATTAGCACTGGGTGGAATGGGTAATTGAGACGCCTATCCCCCAGGGTGGGCTGTCTCTTAACCCTAAACCCGTCCGCCATCAGACAGAAAACATGAATTATCCTAAAGAATTTTATAGTAAGGAGCACAAAATGCATTAGAGCCTTAGGCTGAAATTAAGAATGGCTGAAGTGCCTGTCCCCCAGGGTGGGCTACCTCCAAGCCCTTAATAGTCGCCAATAAGTGCCAACAACTTGCTAAATAAGTGAATAGTAAAGCGGTATAATGGGAAGGATATTAGAGATGCCTATCCCCCTGGGTGGGCTTTCTCGTTCCCCTATCAACCAAAACCACAATACCAATATTTACAAAAATACTGCCAATGAGTATTTTTCATTCAAACCAAATGGCTGAACAGTGTGTAGAGTCCTAATCCAGTAAAGTTCACGCTGCAATAACAGCTTACTGCGGTCTCCACCTCTGCGCAAAGGTGCACCCTCAGGGTGCCCTTCCCGCTCGGCTCTGGAAAGGGGTTAAAACGTACCTTTCTCCAGGGCTGGGCGGGGAGCTCTCCTCCTCCGTTCCTCCCCGTCAGCTGAATGCGCACGCGCGGCAAGAGCTGCGCGCGCATTCAGCCGGTCGCATAGGAAAGCATTACCAATGCTTTCCTATGGACGCTTGCGTGCTCTCACTGTGATTTTCACAGTGAGAAGCACGCAAGCGCCTCTAGCGGCTGTCAATGAGGCCACTAGAGGCTTTGGGGGATGACGCCAATAGAGGCTTTGGGGGAAGGCTTAACCCATTCATAAACATAGCAGTTTCTCTGAAACTATGTTTATAAAAAAATGGGTTAACCCTAGAAGGACCAGGCACCCAGACCACTTCATTAAGCTGAAGTGGTCAGGGTGCCTAGAGTGGTCCTTTAATCTTGCTAGATGGAGGTTGATAGCATTGAATGGGGTCAGTGCATACCAGGAGATCCCTTAGACTTTTATTTCTTTTGTAGCATGTCATGGGGGGATTTTTGAACTCAGCTGGTAATGACGGGTCATTGGTAAAAACAATCCAATTCTTCTTAAAAATGTTATTAAACTCCATCGATGCTGAAGTGTACGTAGTCGGGAATACTGTACGAGGGGCATGTGTTATTTCTTTAACAGCCAAATCTTCACTTTGGCATTTCAATAATGCACGTTGAAGCGTGCTATCCTTATACCCTCTCATCTTGAACTTGTGCCACATAACTGAAATTTGAATATGTGCCTTCTTTAGATCAGAATTGTTTTGAAAAACTCTCAAAAATTGGGAGTATGGTAGGGATTCCTTTAAGGCAGACAGGTGAAAACTGGTTGCATGTAGCAATGTGTTGCAGTCTGTTGTTTTTGTAAACAATGTATGTGCCAATTTGTCCCCTTCACGGTAAACTCGGACATCCAGAAAATCGACCTGATCCGTACTGATTGCTGAAGTCAGCTCAATGTTAGAAGACGCTCTATTGATGGACCGAATCATTTGTTCTACATCTGTAGTAGTGCCCTTAACAATCATAAAGATGTCATCGATGTAGCGTGTATGTTACAATCAGTTCTTTAAAGGGCTGTAGAATATGTAAGCTCTCAAACTGATGCATGTATCCATTTGCATACATGGGTGCCATCGCCGTACCCATGGAAGTACCTGCAATCAGGTGGTACCATTTAGTTTCAAACCTAAAGTAGGTGGCACAAGTTCAAGATGAGAGGGTATAAGGATAGCACGCTTCAACGTGCGTTATTGAAAGGCTAAGGGCTGATGGGGCTGGGAGTCGGCTGGCTCTCCCTCTTCACTGCCGAGCGTGCGCTCCTCCCGCGCGGATTGAGCTGGGAGGAAGTGACCACTTGCGCTCTGGCGGAATTTTTTTTTTAAGGAGCCTGGTCGCGCTATACCACGGCCACAGCGCTGACTGGGCCCCTGCAGATATAGGGCTCATCGGGTGGCCCTAAGTGCATGGGCCACCGGATGGGCCCCATCAGCTACACGGCCAGCCGCCCAAGTAGAGTCAGAGTACAAAGTCTGCATCCCCCAGTAGAGTCAGAGCACACAGCCAGCTGCCCCAGTATAGTCAGAGCCAGGGGGTGACAACCATAACGGTTGTCACGGGCCCGGCGGCCCTGGGGGGCCCGGCCGCCTGGGCCCCATTCCGCTGCTACACATGGGGCCCGGGCGGTTATGGTTGTGGTTGTCACCCCCTGATGGCAGCCTTGGCTCTGACTATACTGGGGAAGCTGGCTGTTGCTCTGACTCTACTGGGGGAGGCAGACTGTGTGCTCTGACTCTACTTGGGCGGCTGGCCGTGTGCTCTGACTCTACCAGGGACATATGCTGTGGATAATTCGGTTCATGTCTAGGATCCTTTGGGACACTATAGGGTTAATATATAAAGCACCGATAGGGTTAATGTATAGGTCCAGTACAAGCTCCAGTATCCAGGATTTACAGAGCCTGATGTAGGATTGAATCCCATGGGTGCAGTCTGGTTTCCCATCACTCTAAAATGTTGTCCTCTACTGGGTATATGGAGGATTTCCCAAATTTCCTAAGAGGACACCTGTATAGGTATAATGATTTCAAAATAATTTATTAAAGATTGCAATTCTATAATGGAATAAAATTTATATAAAAGTGCAACGTGTGGCCGCTTTGTGTAACGCTCTATGAAGAGATATTTATTTGTTAATTTAATAACTGGATGGGAATTGCCCAGAGAACATTCTGAGTTTTCCACTGCAGTTGGAGGAAGTGCAGGAAGTTTCAAAACATGTTGTGACTTTGTGGTAATAGTATATACACAGGAACAGATTGGTGACATTTTCCGTTACAAGGTGCCCAGCTATATGAGAGAAACGAACATGAAGCTGATTTTTATTTTTACCTTTGGACTTTGTGTTGGTGAGTGTGTGACATTATTTCTCGTTATTTTGAATTGTGTATTATCTATATACCTCCCCGTTCCTGGATAGAGAGTTTCTAATGTGTCTGGAGGTGGACAGAATTACACAGCCGCTTGAGAACAATACAATAAAAGAAAGTTCTAATTAACCCCTTAAGGACCAAACTTCTGGAATAAAAGGGAATCATGACATGTCACACATGTCATGTGTCCTTAAGGGGTTAATTAAAAAAAAATTGAAAACAAATCACTGGAAATCAAGCTAAAATAAAAAATCATTGTATTTAGTTTTTTTCTTTTACATGTTTACTTCTATATCTAAATGTGTTTGTTTTTCTTCTCATTTTATTTATGGTCACATTATCTTTGTCTTTAAAGTGGATCTGGTATGAGTCCTGTGGCAGTGGGGTGTGGGGTAAGATAGGTCCTACTTAGCTCACGCCGTCCTTTGCACTCGCCTCCATCTCTCTCCAGCTTTTTCTCTTCGGCTAATGTTGCCGGAGCTGTACTCTCTGAGGTCTATGGACGATAACGTGGGACTGCGTGAGCCACCATAAATCCAAGCCCTATTCCGGCAGCCACCACTGACGGTCGCTGGGATGGGAGTAACGTTGACCCTACTTTGTCTTATGGTGTCTTTGGATTGCATTGGACTTGCAGTGAAATTCCAGCAGTTTTGATCAGTATTTAATAAAGATAAAATCTTTCTGAAATTCTTAAAAATGACAATCTGCTTTAAAAGCATATTAAATTCTGCAGATAATGGTTTTATTTCTAAGTCAGTGACCAGTCTGGTGATTCCTGGAGACCTGATTTCTGCAAGGAGATTCAACCCCTTAAGGACTGAGGCAGCTGAACAAGTTCAGATCAACATAAAACGTAAACAAAACCTGGAATTTGCGCTATATGTTTGTTCAACCGTAATTCACCTCTTTCATATTAAATGCACTCACACTTATTATACATCATTTTATTCAGGGCATTCATTTCATATAAACTATTTATATATGAAGCATAATTTAATGTGAATAAAATATTAAAAAGTAAAAAAATTAAGAAATTTTATTTTTCAAGTTTTGCATGACATTTTAACGGTGAATGTCACGATACTGTTAACTGTTACTGCAATAATATACGCATATTTGTTTTCAGCAATGTCTTACGAGTACAACGGTGCCCCCATGTACATGTTTTATGGAGTTTTGGAAACTTAAAGGGGTCGAATATAGGGCCATCCCCTTTTCCATGTTTGCACATTGAAATTTGCCTGAATGGTTTGTTGGACCTATGCTGCGTTTGAGATCGTAAAGCAACCCAGGAATGAAAATTAACCCCATCATGGCATACCATTTTAAAAAGTAGACAACCCAAAGTAGTCAAAATGGAGTATGTCCAGTCTTTTTCAGTAGCCACTTGGTGACAAACCCTGGCCAAATTTAGTGTTCATATTTGTTTTTGGCATTTTTCACCCAAAATCTGCACTTTTACTGATGATATCATTGTCATTTGTTTTACTGTTAAAAAAAAAAAAACATATTTGTGTTTAGCTAAGTCTCCCATGTACAGCAGTGCCCCCTATGTGCAGGTTTTATGGTGTTTTGTAAAGTTATAGCGACAAATATAGGGCTTGCAAATGTAATTCTCTGGACGTTTTGTATTGGTCGTTAGGCAGGTCCCTCAAATTATAATTATGTAAAATCCATCGATAAATACATATGTAGAATGAATATATATATATATATATATATATATAGATATATATATATATATATATATATATGTATGTTTTAAGGCCAAAGGCCTGTATTTGTGGGAAAAGTTTGTGCTATAAAAATCCATTCTGTTTCAGGTGATCTGGTTACCATAGTTACCTGTTACTTTCAGTTTCGGTTCCCGTGCTGCTGCAGCCCGTTCTAGTACTGCTGGTCCCTGCTGAAGGTTTCCTCGGCTCCGGTCCTCCAGCTCCACTCTCCTCGTCTTAGATTAAAACTCTCCTATAATAAATTATATCTAACATACAGTACCACATGCTCAATATTTGGCCAAACAGACACACTTTCTTATCATACACGAAAAAAAAAAAACATTCTTCAGGGTATCCAAAAATATAGCATAACCCAACCACAAAAAAGATTACCTATTGACAGCAACTTATTTTGCTCCTTATCATACCTTCTAGACTCATCTCCAATCAAACTCCACTACCACCAATCTCTGCCTAAAAATATCACATATCAAGAAACATAATAACTTCTATCTACTTTCATTAACCCATACCCAAATAAGCCAGATGGGCCAAACCATTGACATTCCTGATTACCCTACACATAACAAATGGTGTCCGGTTAAAACACCAGACAAATATCTCAACTACATACACCCCTCCACCTCAATGACTACTAACTTTACATGGAGCACTTAGATGAAACAACCAAGCTAATGACAACAACCCTTATATAACTCCTAAAATCACCACCCACTAGGAATGTTTAACACCTGGGTAGGCCTCTGCTTATTTGCAAACAATAGCTAATTAACCAGCAATCAACAGCAAGTAACTAGCTTAATCAAATATCTTACCAAATTACCAACAGGAAATCAAACCTTGTACAATCAGTAACCTTTTCCTACAGATAAATCTTACCTGTAACAGTAGACTTTTACTTACTACACATAAGTTCATGCTATACATAAGAATCTTATTCATGATGTCACGGTTTTCACCATGCCATACCATCTGGCAGGCGTGGTAGTCCCAGAAGTGCCCAACAGGGGATTTCAACCTGCATCCTTTGCTGTCCTGGGCCTGCTATTCTGCCATTCAGCCACAGCTGTTCCTAGTCTTTGGAATTGTTCTAGTCCTGTTAATCCTGGCTTGTCTGCAGCACTGGAGGCTGGACTTCGTCTGTTGCCTGTACTTCACCTGAGACAGATCAGTCATCAGCTGGGTATTTAAGCACTGCCTCACCCTGGGAACATGATCAAGTCTTTGATCCTGGTTTATGTGTTCAGTTCTTGTGTTCTTGAACTTATACTCCATATTGACCCCGATTTCTGTCTTCGTTTATTCTGATCTCTGGCATCCCTTGACTTCGGCTACACTTCGTTATCCTGACCTCTGGCATCCTTTGACTTCGGTTATCCCTCGACTATCCTCCAGTTTGTGTCCTTGTCGGTACTGCATTGGAATCACCTTTCCCGCACAGCCCCCTGTGCACAGATTTACAGTCCAGGTGGCTTTTTACCTGGTCACCTTGGACTGTGTCGATCTGCAAGGGTGAGCAAACATATCTCCGCTATAGACTCCAACCTCAGGTAAGATTCCTGACTCCTACCTGATAAACTATGTAGGCCATTCATTTAGAATAGGTGCAGTATCCACCGCCTTAAGCAGAAATATTCCTGTACACATCATTCAAATGCTAGGATGCTGGAAGTCAGCAGCCTATTCTCTATGCATTCCTCAACCAGAGCAAGAACTTTATAAAGCAAGCATTTATAAATATGACAATGTCAATGCCTATATTTAAATATTGTTGATTGTAATAAATATGTGCATGGTATTCTCTATTTTTGCGATCTTTATTTTACAGGCCTACTTGTACGTCGGTTTTGGCACACCACGACCGGCTTACATATACTCATGTGTTACGTTTATTATGTTTTACTATTCTATGATACGGCCTTGGTGCCCCGAACACAAATGTGAAGGCAAAGCCTGAAGTTGTAGGAGGGACTTGTACCTCCCCCTTTTTTTATTTTTTATTCAAGTTTTCAGGTGTACACTCTGTGAACAGACAAAAGAATGTACTTTTTACGAATATAGAATAACAAATAGAATAACATAATAACATAAAGGAAGAAGTGGGTGGGGGAAAAGTAGAGGAGGAAGAAGTTATCTTTACCTTTTCCATGAGGGTTATAGATCTTCTCAACTTGACCATCTATTTGGTGAATGTAAAGCCATCTTCGAATTTTGAGTTTTGGGTATTTTCCATTGAGGTCAAAAGCCTTGACAAGAGAATACCATGACATACAAGTTTAGAAGGATGGGCATAGCCAGGGCTGGCCTTAGGGGTGTGCGACAGGGCGCCATGCCAACAGGGGCACCAGGCAACCGTCACAGCTTGCACAACAAGAGACCACTGGACTACCAGGTCATCAGTATTCACCCATCCCTGCCCAAAGGTATGCAAGAGGGAGGGGGGAAGAAGGGGGGAATCAACATTAATTTAAAGCCTTATCTCATTTAAAGCCTTATGTCACCAACCCTTCCCACAAATTCACACTATCCCACCCTTACTGTGTTACCTACACACACACACAACATAATCTACTCACACAAACACCCCCTATAAACACACTATGTTCTCTACACACATACACACTAGATAACTCACAAACACACTATGCTCCTGCCACAGTTCTTGCCACAGCAAACAGATGGCCAGATGTGGTCACCCATGGAGTTCCCAACAAGGGACTTGAACTGGGGAACTTCACAGTCATGGTCCTGCTTCCTTCCTCTGAGCCACAGCAGCTTTTGTATTTCTATGTCATTCTGGTCCTGTTCATCCTGGCATGTCTATTACTCTGGGGGCTGTACCTTGACTTTGGATGTGTTTCACCTGACCCTGATCAGACATTAGCAGGGTATTTAAACTCAGCCTCGCCCTGTGATCAGCATCAAGTCTTTGATCCTGTTGTGTGTTTTGTACCAGTGTTCTTGTCGTTTGAGCTGCTACTTGTTATTGACCCCGGCTTCTGACTACGTTTACTCTGACCTCTGGCATCCCTTGACTTTGGCTACTCCTTGTTGTTCCTGTCTTCTGGCATCCTTTGACCTCGGCTATCCTTTGACGATCCTGCTGTTTGAGTCCTTGCCTGTCCTGCGACTTGGTACTTCATCCTGCACAGCTCCCGTGCACAGACCCACAGGCCGGGTGAATTCTTACCTGACCACCTTGGCCTGTGGCTATCTGCAAGGGTGAGCAACATATCTGCGCTACAGACTCCCAACCCAGGTAAGACCCTGACAGCTCCCTATACATACACACTGCGTAACTTGCACCCATACACACTACATTCCCTATACACACACAAATTATGTTCCCTAAACAGTTAAGCTTCCCCCTTCGCAATCTCACTATCTCCGTTCGCATAGTTTGCTATATATGAACCACCATTAGGGGAAGCGGTAATCTCCCGGACGGGATCCGTAAGCGGTTCCAAACTCCCGAACATAAATCCACGAACTGTTGCTAGTCGCCGAACAAATATATCCACCAAGCGGCTTGCCAGCAGTCAGTCTCTAGTCGACAGTAATAAATCCCACCAATAATGAGACTACGCTCCGCATTGAGGGTAAAACAAGATCTGGCTTTACTGTGGGCTACCTGCCTGTATTTATGCAGGTCTCCCACTTGGTGGACACTCCCCTAGGGGACCAAATGGGAGACTGTGATGGCAGATGGACACATGGACATTTCTGACATACAGGCACAAACTTTTCCCACAATGCAATATGGTTTCCTCCCCTCTGCCCTGGAGATAATTGAGAAGTAATTCAATTATCTCCAGGACAAAGACAAATCGCCATCTTAAGTAAAATACCAGAAAACATACAAAAAATGCATAATTCCACAACTACCGAACATTTTACATTCGTATCACATATCCCCAGATAGCCTGGATCTGAGGGCATATTATTAGCGAATAGCGATCAGAACCAATATGCATAGTTCAATCGCCATGGAGTCATATATTCTTACAGTCTTTCGGTATGCGATTGACTCCATGGGAAGGCTATCTGGGTTAAGTCTCTTCATGTAATTCAAAACTCCCGAACGGCCGGTGTTCGCATGCTTTCGTCGACGGAGAAGGGTGACCCGTTGTTTCAGCGGTGTTCGGCAGAAAAAGTGTCCGTTTTTAGTTCCATGAAATCAATGCCGAACACCGCTGGTCTTTCGTGCGATCGTGCCTCATGGTCGACATGCGAACGACGACCACCCTGTATTTGGTTTTAATTGACATGTGTCTACTGTTAACCACAACGTTCTAATTGGGATCAAGAGGTTAACCAGCAGCACACTTCTATTCTGGGTGGCCGTCCGTTCAGTAGATTTGTTCGGTGAAAAAGTCCACCATACGCATGGGCTATAGAAATAAGCAATTTCCACGAAAGGAAGGCAAACCAGACGAACCCACAAATAATAATCATACAGATGGTGTAACAGCACCCTCAGCATAAAGGGGTTAAACCGCCATTTAGTAGATCTTCCCTTCCAGAGACACAGGCACAGCTACTGCAGAACACCAATCCGCCGAACAGGAAACCATATGAATGCCGTAAACAGCCGAATAGGAAAATCCATCCGAATAGGTTTAAACTCCTAGCAGTGGAACTGGAACAGTATACAATAAATCCCACCAAGAACGAGACGAAGCTCCGTGTTGAGGGTCAAGCAGTGAACAATCAGAGCTGTGGGTTTATTGTGCTTATGTACACATTCTTACACATTAGTACCACCCACAGGGTTTTGGAACACAACCAATAAACACATACAATACACTCAGACACTCCCACACAAATTCCTCCCCTCTGCCTGTGATTCAATTACCTTACACAACGGGTAATGTAATTATAACAAGCAGAGAAATACAATTTTTCCACATTATTCATAACTTGAAAAGTATGCATCACATTCACTTACATTTTCAGAATCAGCATACTCCAAATACAAACATATGTCAAATTCATACAAATTGTTCCAATGGTTCAAAAGATAGATCGTAGTTCTTTGTGACCACAGGAAGCATGGCTTTTCTGCCCAAAACCAGTTCCACAGAGTCTTTTATCCTGGAGATAATTGTGAAGTAATCCAATTATCTCCAAAGACAGAGGCAAAACTCCATTGAACACATGGCAGCAAAAGACAATAAAACACATAAAAACATATAACTGTGCAGCCATTGCACAAAACAGGTACATTCAAAATATCCCCAGATAGCTCAGATCTGAGCGCACATTATTACTGAATGGCGCTCAGAGCACACACATACAGTTCAATTGCCATGGAGCCAAAGTCTTTCCCATAGTCTTTCATTATACGAATGGGCTCCATGGCATAGCTATCTGGGGTATCACCGCTCAAACAGGGCAAGCACCAAATGACCCGGCTTTCGTGTCTTTGCAGGGGAAAATCAAGCGTTTCAACATAGGGCCATAGTCTAAAGGCAACAGGCGAGCAACCAGGCTTCTCCAATGCAATGTGGCGAGATTGGTCTCGTCACAGATGGGTCTGTCACAATACCTATATATACACACACACACACACACACACACACTACATCCCTATCCCACCCCACAATATTTTTCCTACACACACTGCATCCCTATTCCACACACAACATAATGGCATGGCAACTTCAGGGAGACAGGACACTCTTGTTAGAAGTTCGTTTTTACTCCTAATGCTAGAGTGTTCATTCACATAGGTTTGTTTTTCCCAAATCTATACACGTGGGAGGAATTCTTCTAACCCATAATATATGTCTAGAATTTTCTGCTCTTTAAAAAGACCAGAAATTGTACCATAATAAGTACAATTTAACATGATTTCTGAGAGTAATATTTAAATATAAATGTATATTAATATTGGTGTATTATTATTATTATTATTATTATGATATGTGTTATTACACCTATAACATTTACAAATGTATAAATATACTTGCATATGCATGATATGCCCAGAAATCACATTAATACATAATGGAGGCTTAGCACTTTTTACAAGATGGATGAGGGCATGTGACCATGGAGGGGCGCTGTGACCATGGAGGGGCCCTGGGCACAGATTTGGGACTCTGTTTACAATAGTGTCGATCTGCTGATTATTAGTTTTCAGGATGGTGTTAGGAAGATGAGTGTAATTGGATCATAGATAACTATTCCATTGTGTCCATGCTTCTTTCCAAAATTTGGTGGGGTTTGATGCTTTTTGGGCCATCATTTTAATATTTTTTTGTGGTGGAAATTTAATTTGATAAATGAGTGGATGGTCGAGCAGAGTTTTTTAGTTAGTGTCCACTAATAGTAGTAAGTGCTGCTAATATTAGATGATATATTTTAAATAAAGTTGTTGTTTGAGAATTCCTTCACGGCACATGAGGAGTAAGAAGGTCTCAGGTGTTACAGGTATGCAAGTGTTTGTGCATCTCTGGATTATTTTGTCCATGTACACCCAGTATTGGGATAGTTGGGGGCAGGACCACCATTTGTGAAGCATGGATCCAGTACCAGCCTGGTATCTCCAACGTGCATATGATTTCTGGGGGTCAAAGTGTCTTAATCAAGTGGAAACCATATACCAGTGGTATAGGAATTTCTTGGATAGCTCTATATGGGAGTTGCATAGGGTCAGACGTTTGTGTGCTTGAAATATTATTTATTGTTGGGAATCAGTAAATGTGCTTTAAGTCATTTTCCCACTTTTGTAAGGAGGGAATTTGTTTATTAGGTGAATAGCGGTATTCTGCCACATATGGAGTGGATTTGAGTTTAATTGAGGTTTTATCCTTAGACAACATTTTTCCACATTTGACAGTTGTCATCCATGTACATTGTGATTGATTTATCACCCTGGCTGGGTACCTCTGCCAAGCTAGCTGGAAACAGTAAACCTGAAGAAACGCTGCAGCTTAACTGGGGTCCTTCCGGAGCTTTTCCACCCGACCAGGCTGCAGCTCCAGACAGGTATTGTCCCCTCTGCCTATTGCATTCCTTCTTGTGGGTATTGTTCCCTCTGTTTATTCCACCGCTGCCCTTCTTCCAGACAGGTATCCACCTCTGCCTGCAATATGATTTCTATTGCCTTTAAAAAGGCACTTGTGGCTCACAGGCCTCGCTCTCTTGATTTATCACAGGGCTAGAGGGATCCTGCAATCAGCCAAAAAGTCCAAAGACTCTGTAACTGCGATCCCTAAAAACCACAAAGGACACCAGTTTCTAAAGGAACTAACATACAAAACTTTATTTTTACTTGGGACTAGCCCATAGATTCATTACATGTAGATTGCTGTGACAACTTAAATAAAATACAAATAATCAAATCATAACAGAAAACATACAGTAACTTATTATAACACAATGACATAATTATTGTCTTTCCCAAGCTCTTATAAATAACACAAAATCTCTCTCCTGTCTGCAGAATCAGGAATATGCAAATCTACTAAAATATGCAAATTAGCAAGACTTGCTATTCAGGTAGGTTATAGCTGTTGCTGCTATAAACAGAGGGCGCTTTACAGGCTCCAAAGCCAAATCCTCCTAGTTGGTGGCAAGCATCAGCAAAACAGGAGAGCACACAAACAATTCACAATAAACACATTACACACACCCTGCACCTACAATGGGCAAAGAGTGATTTTAAACATAGGAGGGGACCTAATAGAAGTGTCCATTTTATGTTCCCAGTGATGGTGGCAGTAGCGGAGTAGCAGGTGTTAATCCAAGGACTCTCCGCTGGAAACAAAGATTCAGCATACAAAAGGTATAAATCAAAGCATAATCCCTTTCCCCAAGGACTAGACGACACATAGTCTGGGAGTCAACTGGCTTTTAATGCACAAGCTCTGCTTTTATGTGTTTTTCCCTTGAAAGGGAGGCAACTCTCATAATTATTACAGTATCCAATCACATAGTTGGTACCTCCCCCACATCTCCTCCCCTTAGCTTAACAGTTAACCTCATTAAAATGTACACACTTTTCCCCAATTCTTGGATGTACCCCAAATATAGGGGGTACACCTTTAAATGAGGTACCTCCTGATAGCCCTGATCTGGGTGAGAAACATACTCAAAAATCACCCAGATCAGACCAGAGGTTCGGGAGTTATTGAGGAGCAAAGATTTGACCGACCGCACGGGCACAGTAGCCGAAAATAGTTCCATGAGTTCTGGCCCTGCGGTCGGTCTCTGTTCACACTTAAAAAGTCCCGAAAGTCTATGCCATCCAGTGTTAACTTTGCATTCGGATGAATCCCCTGGTTCGCGGGATTCATCCTACCGAATGGCGGGCTGTTCGTGGGTTTCATTCAACACTTTCTGGAGCCCTGGAGGTCTTAGCGGGGCTTGGTTAGTCGAGTGTCCGATTTGAGTTCCAGACACTCGACGACCAAACACCGCTATTCGTGCGTAAGATGGCCGCCGCCACGTGTTCGGCATGCGAATGGCGGCCACACACGAATCCCACTTAACAGCCTCTGCAACATTGTTGCCTTTCGGTAATGAGGGGCACACGATCACATCGGGGTGGTCCCTCATTCAGTATTTTACATCGTTTTCTTGAACAGGGCAGTGAATATAGTTCGGGAACCGATTGCCTGGAGATAACCTTCCAAATAGCAATACGGCCATTTTATAAGTCCTGATCACAGTTCATTCGTATCCCGACAGTCTCTTCCCAGTTCTTTAGTGGCTAGGTTTGCCACAGTGACTACCGTCACATACATCATTTTTGTTCCACACATAATGTTAATGCCGCCAAGAGTTGCAGATTTAAGTTAAATTGATGATATAGTGGTGTTTTTTTAGTGCTTCAGACTCATGAAGTTTGCCCTTGTGAACCAGATGATATAAGGAGGTAATGCCTTATTTATGCCATATTTTAAAATGAAAATCTGGAATAAGGGTAGAGAGTGCTTCGATAGGTAATGCTAGAGAGATATTTTGGCTGTTTTGTATTTATGTCTGTACCTGTCCCAGTGTCGGAGTGTAAGAGTGTTGGTGTGAAGTATGTTTGGGTATTTTTGACATAAGGGCCTTGGCTTCCATGCTAAGGAAGGAAAGTTGTCCTTCTGTATGGCAAGCCTCTATGCGAATCCAAGAGGATGATTTGGTTTAGTAAAGGCTGAGAGAAGGCTTATCGCTGCTTGATAACAATTTTATAGATTGGACAATCCCTTGCTTCACATTGTGAAGGATCTTTACAGGGTTGAAACTGGGGCTCTGGGTTGTTTCCCACCCCAGATGAAGGTATTAAGGATGGTCTGGGCTTTGTTTACATATGTTCTAGGTAACTAAATCAGAAGGGTTCTGAACAAACATTGAAACCTTGGTAAGATTTTTTTGATAGTTTGATAGCCGCAATTCTGCCTAACCATAAATCTCACAATAATATGACTAAATCTGCGCATGTGTGTTGTCTTTGTTGATAGGTTTGATTGCTGTGTAGTGTGTATGTTGGCCCTATGTGATTATTTGTAATGGGTGCATTTACTGTGTGTGTATTAGCTGTGTATGATATTTGTGATGGGTATTTAAATCCGATATAAATATGAATGTAGGCCCATGTGTGAATGCAGATGTGTATTTTTGCAGTGTCACATACACACAGGTCCAAAGTCAGATGTACACAGCTATACACTGTCAAATAAAGCCAGTAGCACACAGTTCCAGGCAAATAGTAACATACACAGTCACACACACAGTTACAGGCAGTTATACACAGTCACAGGCAGACAGTCACACCCACAGTTACAGACAGTCAAACCGTTATGTGACAAATGCTCCTTCCCACATACATTTGTCATGGACTCCTGGAGGAGTGTGGAAGTCGGCCTCCTGCTCACTAACTATGGTCCAAGTCTGGGACACCGTTTGGGAGTTACCCTGCCACCATTATCCGTTTTACCAGAGTGGCCCTGGTTTGGCACTTTCCCTTCTTGCAAATGGAACCGAACTCTAACTCCCTGGCGGACGTTCACATAAACCAAACCCACGAATAGTCCTCAGCAGGACTTAGCCATGACCACTATGGAACAAATTTCATCGTGAGGACTTTGTGGTTTACCGGTCACCTCAGTGGGACTTAGACACGAATGTTATGGAACTGTTTTCGGCATGAGGTGACTGGACAACTTGGTTTGCGACTTTGAAATCCACAAGGAGAGCACTTTTTGGAAGGAAGGTGCCTGAGGCTAAGGGGAACAAACGTTACCTAAGAGCCAGGTGGAGCACCCCGTATTGCGGCTGCAAGTGCTCCCGAAAGTTGACCATCAAAAGCACCAAACGCCCTGGAATTATTTTGGGCATAGGACCACGGCCGGTCAGAACTTTAACACGGTGGCCTTTCCCCTACAATGCATGGATCTGAGCGCTATTTGGAGAACTTGGGTGCACAGCTAAGGGCTATTGAGGATATTTGTGGGGTTATTTTATGTTTTTAAATATTTTTGGGTACTTTTATGTTTTTATATTTTTGTGTTTGGCTCTCTGTTCCTAGGAGATAATTAGCTTAGTGGTCTTTAACGTAATTATCTCTCAGGCCCAGGGATTCATGGGAGGGGTTTGTGCTGAATACAGTGAAGACCCCCTGCAGAGTTTGGCTCATTAAAATCAGTTGTACTCCTAGAACTATGTGAGGGGAAGGGAAAGGGCTAATCACTGCACAGCACCTTGTTCCAGCTCATGGAGGATTCCTTGCAAGGAATAGTGCTCCCATGACTTTGGTTTGTCATGTTCCTGGGAGGGAATAAAGCTAGCCCCCTATCCTGTTCCAGGATGGAGAGGCTGCTGGAGGACCGCAGTCAAGCCACGGCGACTGGGGCAAAAGCATTGAGATTTTCCCTGGTTCCAGCTTGGAAGCGATCCTTGGTGGAGGTACCCAGCCAGGGTACAGGGAGCTCCGCTACAAGTTACATGCAGACAGCCACACAATTAGTTACAGTCACACACACACAGTCACAAGCAGACAGTCACACACTTAGTTACAGCCAGACAGTGGTACACGATAGTCACACACATAGTTACAGTCACACACACACACAGTCACAAGCAGACAGTCACACACTTAGTTACAGCCAGACAGTGGTACACGATAGTCACACACATAGTTACAAGCAGTAACCTCTTTCCATTACAGGCACTGGGGGAAGGAGTGGAAGCAGTGTCCAGTGGTTAGGGAACAGGAACTTCTTCCTGCTTCCCCCTTAGTATGCAGCAGTAACCGGGCAGTGGATTCAGGCAACATTTAGCTCCACCCCCAATGCTCATTAATTTTGTCCCGCTGCCTTGTCAGCTTCTTTACTAGACCCAGATGAAGGATAATAACATTCTCAACCTGGGTGCCGCGCAGCCACGCTTGATACACGGCCTGCAGGACAGGGTGCCCCGCATGTCTGTCCATGTGCAAGCTCTATTGGCTGCATGTCGCACACCACTGTCCGGTGTCCTGTCTGTCTCTCTATCCATCCGGCATTTTTATGGCATTATAGGATAGCGCCAACTCATACATATTTTGTCCTGCTTGAAATTAGCAATAGTTAATTAGAGAAATGTATATTGGAAAATAAGCTAATAAGACTTAATCATGGCGATCCTGTCTCCCCATCTCCTCTTCCAGCATCTCACTTTCGGGAGAGGAACTAAATTAAAGCTGCAGATGGTTTGTAATGTTACTCCCAGTAAGCTCTGTCAAATCAATACTAACTCTGACCCCTGAAAAACCATCTAGTATAACATAATGGTACAGTGTGTGTTATGTATCTTGTGGTTTTATATCTGTGTATAAGTATATATAATATCCCCTTAGTATTTGGGTAGTTTTTAAAGTTATCAAGTGTTATTACTTGCAGGAGGAGGTTCGAATGGGATGAAAAGTGACTCCAGGAAGAATCATTTCCATTGTCAGTGTGAGAAATGCAAAAAAAATTATGAGGCTAAAGCCACATGCGGAGAGATTCACTGCTCATTTGATATGAGAGGAACTAAGAAATGTGTGTGTGAAAATATAACGTATATGGGCTCTGTTATGCAAGTATGCTGCAAAGGAAACACTTATATCTGCTTTAACAACAAGAACGTGAAAAATGCAGGTTAGACTCCCATGTGGACAATAGTTTTTCATGATGCTATTTTTTTTTACATTCTTTATTTATTCCAAGACAAGGTAACAAAACATAATACCAACATAACAATGTTAGGTTGAATACAGTCATAATTGGATATAAATACATTATTATCGGATGTCAACTTAAAGTCGGTGTGAACCACCTTGTGAATTAAAGTATGGTTCTCGACTGGATATAGTAGTCGCTACTGCGTATCATGCTGTATAATCTGTATGGATATTGTACCTGGTGTTTAACATTTATTGTAAAACTTAAGACAACAATACAGACTTCTCGTAATATCGTAGAGGAGTTCACATGCCCGAGGTAAGTTTCCCTTAAAAGTATAGAATTATCCAGGCACGCTAGTATTCCGGCTGTTATATGCATTCCGTCCTTCAATTACGGCTGCAAGCCTGCACTGTTTAGTTTATCCTAACAGAAGAAAGAGTAGAAAGAATGTAGAGTGAACATTCTCTCGAGAGAGTAGGAGAAGGGGAAAAAAAACGGGGGGGGTAAGGGGAGAGCCGAGGAGATCCGTCAGTAGCTTTATTCTCCGGAGGCCAGCGGAACCACGCCCTGGTCACACACAAACACCAAGACTATCCGCAGACCCGGAAGGGGAGCCTTCAGGAGTGGTGAAAACTGCAATTCTGCCGCGAGGGCGGTGCGGGTGCCCAGGAGCAGGTGAGTACCCGGGCGTGCCGTGACACCACCAGAGTAAAGTTTTGACCGAACAACAAAGGTGCCTCACTTAGCACTGTTTTCAAACTCTGGAAGGCAACCTCGCACTCCGGGGACCACACTACCTGTCTGGGAAGGGACTTTTTTGGTCAGGTCAGTGAGGGGCTTGGTGAGGGCACTATAGTCAGGGCCAAATTTGCGATAGTTGGGTCCTGCATCCATAACGAACAGTTTACTCAATGTTTATCAGAAATGCTTGATTGACGGCAGTCTGTATCTTATCCTCCAATGATGAAATGGTGGAGGCGGAGCTACACTCTGCTTTATGGTATACTCAGCCAATCATTGTCCCAATCACTGCACAAGGCTATAGATTTAAATGATATGGTGAATATTTGCATTCAAATTGTGATATTATAAGTTGGATGTAGTAAATGAGAATGTTATTCTTTGACCTCATTAAGGGTATCTTAGTAGACATTATACGGATTGCCTGAGAACTGCTGTGCCTCTATCTAGAGAAAACCTGGTTAATTAATAGAACACTATAACCACAAAAGCAATTTTCTTAATGGAGCAGTTTTGGTGTATAGATCACACCCCTTTAGTCCAGTCTCGCTGCTCAATTTTCTGCCATATAGGAGATAAGGGAACACTCTATGCACCATACCCATTACAGTGAGCTATAGTGGTTATGGTGTCAGGTGCCCCTCCATTGTAATTAGTCTAACTGTTTTTGAATGGTGTGACTTTTTATCTGAGTTTCTCAGCCTGAGCCTATACTGTGATTAGCCAGCTTATTGGCTTCATGTGAGTCCTGCGCCACTGGGCTTAGCTCAGGCAGATCTTCTGACTGTCACTGAGGATGTGGTGAAACCAGAGACCAACACCATTTATTGGTGTATACATATTGGTGTTCACGTTGGTCATTCAGCTATAGTCACATATCCCCTGGCTGTGAGGGGCATGATAGACACCAAAGCTGCTTCATTCAGTTAATGTTGTTTTGGTGCTTATTGTATCCCTAAGAGTAAATTGTGTTGCTTCAACATTTGTGTGATCTCTTCTCTGATAACATGGGATACAGCCTGGACCTCCAAATAAGAAGAGGACAATGCCAGCAGCTTCTAACTGCAGATGAGCAGTTCATACTGAGATGATTCCCTTGATAACATGAGTTTGAATTTATATTCTCTTTATGTGGATTCTTAGCATTAAGACTTAGCATCGAGAAGGTTTTCCACAATTTTAATATGTTTTCAGTGTTTTCATTGATGAAGCGTGATCATAGATATTGGTGGATTCTGCTGAATTTCTTCTCTCTAGTTACTAAGACAGAACGCAATCTAAAATAAATCACAAATGTGTACTTTTGCCTTTTTCCTTTATTTTTTTTCTACAAGTTACGCAACCAGAGACAACTGTCCCTTCACCATTCCCATCCTACGAAAGTGAAAATGAAGAGATGGATAGCAGCAAAGAATGTAAAGATGACAACCAAAAATGTAAAGATGGCAACGAAGAAGATAATAAAGAAAATAAAGATGTTAGCAATGGGGACAATGAAAACAATTCAGACAAAGGAGTAGATAATAAAACAACCAATGAACGGTAAATATTTGTCAATTACTCGATGACATTCTGCATGGTTTTTATGTTAAGTGGTTTATGGTTAAATAGAATAAAAGCAGAGGTTAATATTTTACAAAAGGGAGAATAACCAAGTTATTCAGTAAAAGGAATTTAAAGTTTAAGGCAAAGTAGTTGAATTGCAAGCATAACAAGACTTAATGTAACAGTTCCTTTAAATGGTTGACTTCACTTTCCAATCTTTCACTTTAAGAGTTTAATTGAAGTTCATGGATCCACCTATTTAAACCTTCAACTTCAATGTCTCAGTGCACAATTAATGTGTCTCTACCAGTGTGCAGTTGACACCTATTTAATTGGCTACAGGTACCGGTCTACCAAGTCCCAGTAACTTTTCTAATTCCCCTCAAAGTTAAATCCCAGTTGAATTACTTGCCTATTAATTGTTACCGACCTGGATTGGACTTTAATGCTTCTATTGTACACCCCTTACTTTACTTAATACATGTTGCTGAACTGGATTGGATTTGACCGTTCTTTTGGATATTCCTTTGGACTGATTTACTGTTGCCAAACAGGATTTTCCCAATTGTATTCAAAGTAACTGTATTATCACCTAAACATTGCTCTCAATACGGGCGATTTATCCTTTATTCTCTCAGACTGACCTCTCATACTGGCGAGTAGTCTGTATTTTTAATTTGTTTGACAAATATATTGTTTGAAATATTATAGATTAATTGCCAAAAAAACAACCTGTCAAACCCTTTTTTAAATGGAGACTATTTCCTCTATACAGACTTTTCAAGCCATACAAACCAGAGTTGGAATGCTTGCACAATCTATCCAAGAAGTCCATTTAACATTAAATTATATTCAATTACAAGTTGATATGATAAGCCAAGGATTTACCCCCCCTACAAAATTCAACGGAGATAGACCCTCATATAGAGGTTTTATTTACGAATGTAAACTTATGTTTTTTTTTTCTCCAGCCAAAAACTTTAATGATGTAAAAGTTAAAGGAACACTATAGTCACCTAAATGACTTTTGCTAAATAAAGCAGTGTTAGTGTATAGATCGTTCCCCTGCAATTTCACTGCCATTTAGGAGTTAAATCACTGTTTCTGTTTATGCAGAATTAATGTTAAACAGAACTTGCAATTAAGAAATCTAAATAGGGCTCTCTTTACAGGAAGTGTTTATGGAAGGCTGTGCAAGCAGGGAGGTGTGACTAGGGTTCATAAACAAAGGGATTTAACTCCTAAATGGCAGAGGATTGAGCAGTAAGGCTGCAGGGGCATGTTCTATACACCAAAACTGCTTCATTAAGCTAAAGTTGTTCAGGTGACTATAGTGTCCCTTTAAAACCATTTCCTTTTTAAAGGGACCCTGCCAAATGGGCTTAATAATTAATTGAATCTAATGGTCCTTGTTTATTAGCTTTAGATCAATTATTCATTGAAATGAGAAAATTATATGAAGATGAAAATAAGACACTGCAGAAACTCATACATTCCTTAAAACCAGGAAATGTTGAGGAATATATATATATATATATATATATATTTTTTTTAATTTAGAAGACTTTCAGCTGACACATCATGGAACGAATCTGCACTTAAAAACCAATATCTGATTAGTTTATCAGAACACCTTAAAGATGAATTAGCTCGAATTGTTGTTTCCTCCTCCCTCTAATTGATTTAACAATCCAATTAGATCATAGAATTAGAGAGACGTTCCCAAACTTCTCTATATATCCCAAACTTCTCTATATACCAGACTGCCTAATTCTTTAAACAATTCTTAATCTTCTCCAATTAACCCTAAACCTGAACCTATGGAGATTGGTTCTCACAGGAAACCATTAACAGCCAAAGAAAAATTTAAGAAGGAAGACACTTAATTTATGTATATATTGTGCCTTTTCCTATCAACTCCCTGATTGTTCCCTCATTAAACGGAACAAGATTGGAAAGTCCACCATGCTTGTTTCCTCCAATTATTATATTTCAAAGAATCGTTTTTCAATTCTTGTTAATGGAGAATAAGCAACCTTTCAGTTGTAATTAACTAATTGCTAAATGCTAACTTTTTTAGGTTTTTACCATTTTGGCCACATCTGCGGAGTACCACAGTGGTTTCTTGAATTTTTTTGCGTTTACTGACAAGCCTAATGCAATTTTCTGTTGCCTTCAGTAGTGCAACTTTTAAATAATCCCATTTCTCTTGGACTCCATTTAAATTGCTCCAGTCTGATAATGACTCCTCTACACATTCTAATTTTAGAAAAGTCTGCTTTTCTAAAGTCTAAAACTTTTGTTTTTGTGTGGTGTGACTCTGTCACTGTTCTTATATTAAACCACACTGACTGATGATCACTGGATCCTAAACTTTCACCTACAGTAACATCTGATACCAAATCTCCATTTGTTAACACTAAATCTAGTATGGCCTCTTTACGAGTTGGCTCCTCAACAACTTGTTTTAGGGACAATGTGAGTTGGGAGTTTAGAATGTGTGCTCCTGGGACAAGCAGCTATTTTTCCAGTTCACATCAGGAAGATTAGTCACCCATGATAATAACCTCCCCCTTTATTGTCATTTTAGCTGTTTCCTCAACTAGTAGATTATCTAACTCTTCAATTTGTCCTGGGGGCCTATAAATCACATCTGCACAAGTTACTGTGTGTTTACCAAATTCTCACATAACCCAAACGGACTCTATGGTTTGCCTCACTAACTTTTATTAGGCTAGATTTTATGCTATCCTTCACATACAGGGCCACCCCTCCCCCTTTCTTGACTTCCCTATCTTTCCTATATAAAGAGTACCCTGGTATTGCTATGTCCCAGTCATTTTTCTCATTGTACCATGTCTCCGTAACAGCGACTAAATCTACACTATCAGTTGCCATTATTGCCACAAGTTCATGGATCTTATTCCCTAAACTGCGAGCATATGTAGACGTGACTCTAAGGATATCATTTTTAACACACTTGCTACTGGCACCTTCTGTCCTTGTTTTGGGGGACAATTGGATTGATGTTTTATCACCCTTTTGCCCCCCCTCCTAGTTTAAATACATCCTAGCAAAACCTCTGAACTGCTCACTGAGAACATTTGTTCCCTTTTGAGAAAGATGCAAACCATCTTTTTTTTTGTACAGGTTATTTCCATTCCAAACAGAGCTACCATGAGAAATAAAGCCAAATCCTTGCTCCCAAAACCATTCACCAAGCCACAAATTAAAGTCCCTAATACGCATCCGCCTGTCGTTCGGAGTGTTATGCACAGGCAGAACTTCAGAGAATTACAGTGTGGAAGCAACCTGCCGTATATCATTGGCAAAAAAACTAAAAACGTCCTTAACCTCTGAAACCTCATTGCAAGCCAAGTAATTTGTCCCTAGATGGACAAGTACATCCAATTCCCCTTCCTGCTTTGCTCGCTTAACAATATTACAAATACTTTTCCTGTCTCTGAGCAGTAGCTTCGGGAAGACATCTAACAAGACCACCATTGTCCATCTCCACACCTCTTATAAGAGAATCCCCCAAAGACAACTGTTTTCTATTGGGCCTCACCATAGTCTTCAAGCCTGTCTCCACAACACCGCTACACTTGGTGCCTGAGCCTGTCTCCACAACACCACTACCCTCAGTACCTATGCCTGTCTCCATAACACCATTACACTCTGAAAGTGCAGAAAATGAATGTAGAGTAACTGTGCAATATGCTTTTTTTTTTTATCCATGTGACGAGACTAATCTCTCCACATTGCATTGGAGAAGCCTGGTTGCTCGCCTGTTGCCTTTGGACTATGGCCCCATGATAAAACTTGTATTTTCCCCTTGTGCCTTTCTGCCAGGGTGTTCGGTAAATTCTATGTACCGAACAACCGCATGAATGACTGGACCGCCTGGGAGCTGGAGTGTGTCGGCAATTTACCTCCCAGAAGCTGCGGTTAACCGCAGCTTAACTGACAATTACTGGGTGGTCGTGGTTACACCTAGCCGCCACACGAAGGCGGTGTTATGGAAGCTTCCCTGGTAGCCAGCGCTTGTTCTACTCAGCGGCAGGACACCAAAAGCAGACACTTTAGCTTCCAAGACCCGCTGAGGCTGGAGGTCTGCAAACCCGTTCGGGAACCGAACAACGGAGTATTCGGGACTTTTAGTGTTCTAATGTATTCGGTGTAAAAGTACCCAGATAGCCTGCCATGGAGCCTGTTCGTGGAATTAAAGACTTTGGCTCCATGACGATTAAACTGTATTCGTGTGGTCTGAGCGCCATTCGCTTAATAATGTGCGCTCAGACCTGAGCTATCTGGGGATATGTTAAATGTATATATTTATTGTAACCTTTCTAAAATGGGAGATTTTAACAGTAATTCCTGTATTGGTATCCCCACGTGCATAATGGCGATTTGCCTTTGTCCTGGGAGATAATTGAATTACTTCTCAATTATCTCCAGGGCAGAGGGGAGGAAGCCAAGATGCATTGTGGGAATATAATGTGACTGTGTGTTCTGGATTGATGCTTGTCTGTCCTTTTGTTACAGTCTCCCATTTAGTCCCCTAGGGGAGTGTTCACCAGGTGGGAGACCTGCATAAATACTGCTTGACCCTCAACACGGAGCCTTGTCTCGTCTTTGGGGGGATTTACTGTATGCTGTTAGAGACTGATTGCCAGGAGTGTAAGCCGCTTGGGTGCTTTTCCTATTCGTCTGCTAGCAGCTATTCGTGAGGTTCCAGTTCAGGAGTTTGGAGTGCTACTTTGTATGCAGTTCGGGAGATTGGAGCATTCCCTTATATGCGGTTCGGGAGTTTGGTGTTCTACAGTAGCTGTGCCTGTGTCTTTGAAAGGGGACTATCGCCTAAACGGATTTTAACCCCTGGTGTGCTGAAATGGTCCATTACAATCCACAACTCTAAGTCTGCCATTCCTAGTATGTCTCTGCGGCAGTGGCTTTGCAGCAGTTCCAGCCTGAGTTTGTTCACCAGATAATTTACAAATCTCAGACTTCAAAAAATACAATCTCCTGCCGCAAGATAGAGAATTGTCTCCAGATTAGACAACAACCAAACCTCCAAAAAGTGGAACGTGAAACAAATGCATAGCAACTATTACACTGAACTAAATCTGCCATTTTAATGAGGTGAATAATTTAAATCAAACAAATCTAAAATTTTTATTTATCCTCCTGACGACCTCAGAATATCTCCAATCCCACACTTTGAAGCAGCACTTAGAAGCAGCTGCCAAGCTCTATTAGCAAAGCTAATATCTACAACCCTTTTATACATTCCTAAAGGCACCACCCACTAGGAATGTTTAACCCCTTAAGGACGGAGCCAAATGTACACATTGTGAACAAAACAAAATGTAAACAAAACCTGGCATTTGCGCTACATGTCTGTCCAACCGTAATACACCTCTTTCATAGTAAATGCACCCACCCTTATTATATATCATTTTATTCAGGGGAAACAGGGCTTTCATTTAATATCAAATATTTAGCTATGAAACATAATTTAATATGAAAAAAATGGGAGAAAATACGATTTTATTGGATTTTTTTAGTTCTACATGACAATTAAACGGTCAGTGTCATAATACTGTTTGCTTTTACTGCAATAAAATACACATATTTGTATTCAGCAAAGTCTCACGTGTAAAACAGTACCCCTATGTACAGGTTTTATGGCGTTTTGGGAAGTTACAGGGTCAAATATAGCACGTTACATTTGAAATTGAAATTCGCCAGATTGGTTACGTTGCCTTTGGGACTGTATAGTAGCCCAGGAATGAAATTTACACCCATAATGGCATACCATTTGCAATAGTAGACAACCCAAGGTATTGCAAATGGGGTATGTCCAGTCTTTTTTAGTAGCCATTTGGTCACAAACACTGGCCAAAGTTAGCGTTAGTATTTGTTTGTGTGTGAAAAATGCAAAAAACGCCAATTTTGGCCAGTGTTTGTGACTAAGTGGCTACTAAAAAGACTGGACATACCCTGTTTGCAATACCTTGGGTTGTCTACTATTGCAAATGGTATGCCATCATAGGGGTAATTTTCATTCTTGGGCTACCATAGGGTCTCAAAGGCAACGTAACCAATCTGGCGAATTTTAATGTGAAAAAAATGAAACGCAAGTCTTATATTTGACGCTGTAACTTTTGAAAACACCATAAAACCTGTACATGAGGGGTACTGTTGTACTCGGGAGACTTAGCTGAACACAAATATTTGTGTTTCAAAACAGTAAAAAGTATCGCAGCAATAATATCGTCCGTGTAAGTGCTGTTTGTGCGTGAAAAATGCAAAAACTTCACTTTTACTGGCGATATCATCGTTGTAATACATTTTACTGTTTTGAAACACTAATATTTGTGTTCAGCGAAGTCTCCCGAGTAGAACAGTACCCCCCATGTACAGATTTTATGGTGTCTCGGAAAGTTATAGGGTTAAATATAGTGCTAGCAAATTAAATTCCCTTTACTTTCAGCATGGGTTGTCAGGCAGGTCCTGCTAATTGTAATTAATTAAGATACCTAATTATGTAAAAATATTACATAAATATATATGTAGAAATAATATATGTATATATATACGTATGTATATATATGTATATATCTATATAATTTTTTTTAAATATTTTTATTTATATATAGGTATATATATATAGTGATATATACGTATATATTTATGTATATAGATATATATATTATTTCGTTCTACGTGTATTTTGATATATATATATATATATTAATTTCACAAAACAGTTAGAACGAAATAACACACATCTATATTTTTTTTATTATTTATTTTTAATTATTTTTTTAATTTTATTTTTTAACGTATTTACATTTTTATTTTTTTTATATTATATATAAATATATATATAACAATAATTATATATATATTTAATCAGTATCAGTCTACGTGTAATTTGATATTAATATATATATATAATTATATATATATTAGTAGTAAAATACACCTAGACGGTGTATGTGTGTGTATGTATATGTGTATATATATACTTAGATCATATATATATAATATATACATATGATCTAAGTATATATAATTATTTTTTTTTACACCATTAACTTATTTTTATTTTATTTTCAGCCAGCAGGGGGACCACCTGTCATTACAGGCAGCCCCCCTGCCGGCAATACAGAAGCCAGCTATCCCCGGCCATGTGATTGTGGGTCCTCGCTAGGACCCCACTCTCACATGGCCGGGGGGCTTCAACGAGGACGGATGTGCCGCGGGGGGCTCCCTGGGAGTCCCCCCCACCGCGATCGCCGGCGTGGGACCGCCGGCGACCGGGTAAGTTAACAAAAACCGGAGGGCGTACAATTACGCCCGGCGGCGTTTAGAGCCGCCTATTAGAGGGCGTAATTGTACGTCCTCCGGTTTTAAGGGGTTAACACCTGGGTAGGCCTCTGCTTATTTGCAAACAATAGCTAATTAACCAGCAATCAACAGCAAGTAACTAGCTTAATCAAATCAAATGCCTTATAATTACCAACAGGAATTCAAACCTTGTGCAATCAGTAACCTTTTCCTACAGATTAATCTTGCCTGTAACAGTAAAAAAGAAAAATCTAATGCTAATTCTGTGCCTCTTGAGTGCACCGCTTAATTCACAATGTCTGTGTTATGGACTTTACATTTTGAGTAACATTTCTAATGCTATTTGTGGTTTTGCGCCCATAACTCACTGAGTTATAGACTCTTTCACAGTTTAGCAAATTACCTGGATAAGTGACAGGGTCTAACCTGAGAGGTTATTTCATCTTGGAGGAGAGAGGCCTAAATGGATGTATTTTTACATTCACATCCTAAATGGATGTATAAGAAATGCCTCCTACCCCTAAAATTGGTATAATGACAGAAAGCTGGAGATGGTAATGATAGCTTGTTTTTCACCAACATATGGGGAGAGGTATTAGTAAATTTCTGTAAACGCCATTATTATATTTATATAGCGCCATCAAATTCTGCAGCGCTTTACAATGGGTGGACGAACAGACATGTAGTTGTAACCAGACAAGTTGGACACACAGGAACAGAGTGGGTGAGGGCCCTGCTCAATGAGTTTACATGCTAGAGGGAGTGGGGTAAAATGACACAAAAAGGTAAGGATAGTATTAGACTAGTGACAGTTGCAGAAGAGGAATCAGTCAGGAGCTATTAACAGTTTAATTGATACGCTTTTATGAAGAAGTGGGTTTTTAACGATTTTTTGAAGGCGTGGAGACTGGGTGAGCATCTAACAGAGGAGGGAAGCGAGTTCCACATGAACGGTGCAGCCCTCGAGAAATCTTATAAGCCAAACATGAGATCACTTGTGATACAGTGGCTATGAGGTGTGCTTGTCAGAACCCCTGACGCACATTTCTCCAATCTGGCTCATCAGATGGGAACCAGACAAGTGCTCAGTGTCTGGTTTAGAAATGGGAGAAAAAGTTTGTAATTGGTCAGTTTGAATATTGGAGCACCAATGGGGCGTCAGGAAAGATAGAGATATATAAAAGTTTCTGAGCTCATTAACCCTTTAAGGTATAACCAGGAAGAAATGGGTTTATTTGTTTTATTAACCCCTGAAGGTATAGAACGATGTAGAAGTTAATTTTCCCAATTAGCATTGTGACAAGGGGTGTATTTAATAGCAAGTGAATACTTTCATTAGATAAAAGTCGATGAATGTTATCTTGATGTTGTAAGACAAACTTTTGTTTGCAGATGTTAGAGGGAATTAATGAATGGAAAAGGTAAACAATATGAATGACCACAACTACCTAAGTTATATGAAAATAACGATCAGCCGGTTTGCCGAAAGGAAGGAGTACATATGAAGAAGAGATAAGATGAGCTAGGGCTACAGAATAATGTGGGAATTATAGATAATGGCCATAAGGGATTTAGTAAAATAAACTACCTGGATTTGGGGGCCATTGAGTATTTGAATTGTAAATTATATTTTTAAAGGTAAGTAATTGATTCATTGTGATTTATTTCAATCACTTGGAATTTTAAATGAGTTGGATCACTGCAGAGGGGGCCCAGGTAGCACACAGCTTCTTCTCTTCTAATAACTCTCAAAAGACCCGGTTACCATGGCAACGCTCCGCGGGTCTCGTGAGAGTTATTACAAGAGTAAAAGCGGTGTGCTGTCTGGTCCCCCTCTGCGGTAACAGGGAGCTGGGGAGTCCCCCATGCCACTGGACCACCAGTGATGGAATCTCCCTCCCCCCCCCCCCGGACACAGGGAGGGGGAATAACATTTAATTAACTTAATATACACGAACAACACACTCTGCATACACTAATAAAATATACTCTGCATCCAGTACACACTGACACACACTCTGCCTTCACTACACAAACATCCTGTATTCAAAGTACACACTACATCCACCACAAATTGAAACACTCTGCATTCACTATACACAGACACTGCATCCACTAAACACATTTATCTAGTAAATACACACACTACATCCACTACTCAAACACACACTACATCACTGTACACACACTATATCCACTACTCAAACACACTCTGCATTCACTATACACACTGCATCCACAACACAAACACACACTCTGCATTCACTGTACAAACAGTATCTAATACACACAAACACTACATCCATTACATACATTCTAATTCACTTCCACTATACACCCACCACATTCAGTCCTGCATCATTGTCAGCGCACTAGGTAGGGCGTGGGCGGGCCCAGACCTTGTGCTTGTCAGGGGCCCCAAAATTTCTGATGGCGGCCCTGAGTATGGAGACAGTGCACCCTTTTTCCTAGTGTATTACGTTTCAACCAAAATAAAAAAATGCAGTGGTTATGGTTGTGCTCACCTTTTTCTGAGCCAATGAAATTACATTTCAAACCTCCGTGGTATTTAAAGCTTCTATTTGACTCTCAGATATGAAGTGCACCCCACTAATGTACTAGTCTGCAGAATTATTTCCTAATCTGTCCCTCACAGTGGCAGCATCCTCTCCCTACACTAATAAGAGCTCATATGCGTGCGGCGCTACGCGACTCCAGCTTATATATAGAGGCTGGGTCACATGCTGCACTGGCCAATCACAGCCATGCCATTAGTAGGCATGGCTGTGATGGCTTCTAAGGGCACACGAGTCAAACGCTTGTTAATTGGCTTCCCTGCAGCCTTTGAAAACGCGCCATTAAATCGCTGAACATACAGTGATATGTCCATGTTCGGGGTCCAAAAAAACCTAATGTTCGGGTTCGCCGAACTCTACTTATTACCTGTTGCTGAACCGGACTGGATGTGACCTATGGACTGATTTACTGTTGCCAAAGTGGATTGGACTTTAACAAACTTTCTAGATTTTCCCTATTGTATTCAAAGTAACTGGATTATCACCTAAACATTGCTCTCAATCCTGGTGATAATCCTTTATTCTCCCAGACCAACGTCTCATACTGGTGAGTAGTATGAGAAGTAGTAGTAGTAGTAGTCTGTATTTGTTTGACAAATGCATTGTTTAAAACATTAAAGTTTGTTTCCATTTTTCGACTCTAAATTCAAAACTTAATTTAAATTCACTTTGAATAGTCCTGCAAGTCAATTTGAAATTGAAGGCCAAATAGTTGAATTGGGAATCTCCTCCAAGGGAGCTGTATGTATTGCATACCTCTGAGAGTCAGTTCCAGGAAATGGTAAATTGGTAGTCAGATATGGTGAATTAAAAATTATCTATTTATTTTTTTCCATAACTTGATTTTACTACGTTGCTATGTTCCAGATCTCCTAATCAAAATGAAAGTTGGCTGATCGCTACTCTTGTGATTCTCCTCCTCTGTGTGGCATTTGCTGTTTTAATTATCGTTCTGCGTAAACGCATTTTCAAGCTTCAAGGTAAGAAACTGGGGAAATGGGAATCAGTGGATCATGTCCAGAGATAAAAGCTTTTTAAAAAGAAGGCATTGCTCCTACAATAGTTAACACTCTCTGTGTGTAACAATATGTTCCAGATTATTTGACCCATATAATGGCGTGTTTGCCAAACCGAGAGAGGCTGACACTGTTGCTGCCAAACTTATTCAAATTGCCAAGTTGGGAAAACAATCTCCAGTATTTTTTTTTTTTTTTCTGGACCATATTCTACTATAACTGCTCTGTATTAATACAATATGTATGTATTGTCTCCAAAAATAAAATGGCAGCAGTATTACTGTTCAACATGTATTAAACAATATAGGTAATAGCTATGGAGTAATTCTATTGACCTATACTGGTTAAAGGAACACTACAGCCCACTCCTAAATGGTTTTACAAGTTACCCCAGGAGGGCACCATAAATACAGCATGCTTTACTGCTCATGGTTATCACTGTGAGATTATATAGTATGCATGTGTCCCCTGAATTCAATATTCTGCAATATAGAATGTGACGGCAGATAAGAACCATTCGGCCCATCTAGTCTGCCCAATTTTCTAAATACTTTCATTAGTCCCTAGTCTTATCTTATAGTTGGGATAGCCTTATGCCTATCCCACGCATGCTTAAACTCCTTTACTGTGTTAACCTCTACCACTTCAGCTGGAAGGCTATTCCATGCATCCACTACCCTCTCAGTAAAGTAATACTTCCTGATATTTTTAAACCTTTGCCCCTCTAATTTAAGACTATGTCTTCTTGTTGTGGTAGTTTTTCTTCTTTTAAATATAGTCTCCTCCTTTACTGTGTTGATTCCCTTTATATATTTAAATGTTTCTATCATATCCCCCCTGTCTCGTCTTTCCTCCAAGCTATACATGTTAAGATCCTTTAACCTTGACCAGTGTATAGTCGCCATATGGGCAGTCGGACTCCAGGACAACCCTCCCACATACCTAACCCAATAATGCACTGACACTCGGGTATATGGGAAAATTTGTCCACAGCTTTATTAAACAATCTGAATAATAATAACCATATATTCAACATAACATAATAATAGTAATAATTTAACAAATAACATGGGTCATTGCCCCCCATACTCCGACCCTCGCATCCGATTCCTTCTGTTAATATAAAAGGCAATGACCCCCATATAAATAACACATATATATAACATATACCAACATTATTCCAACATACCAACTTAAAGTGCCAACATAAATTTAACCATGGCAGGGGTATACCCGGATACCCCTACCCCACCAGGTTCTGAGCCACCGACAGGACTCGAAACCTACCAACCACCAATGACCACAGTTTTCCATATCTGTCACGTTCATCCTAGGGAGCCTATTCCTTCTCCTTCAGCTCCCTATCCCGCCGCTGTGAAAAAACGGGATATCCCCTAACCATAAACAATATCTATAGGGAGGGTGGGCGGGACAAACTTAGCCAGGTAGGAAATTAGAAGTGAGCTCACTTAAAATGGCTGCCTATTTAAATAGCCCAGCCTACTTACCCATAACTCCATACTTCCTTCCCTCCTCCTATGCCCGCCTCCTAACCCCTGTCAAGGCCCTTTTTCGCTTAGCTGTGCTTTGGCTGCATGGGGCTACATGACCGGTGTATAGTCGCCATATGGGCAGTCGGACTCCAGGACAACCCTCCCACATACCTAACCCAATAATGCACTGACACTCGGGTATATGGGAAAATTTGTCCACAGCTTTATTAAACAATCTGAATAATAATAACCATATATTCAACATAACATAATAATAGTAATAATTTAACAAATAACATGGGTCATTGCCCCCATACTCCGCCCTCGCATCCGATTCCTTCTGTTAATATAAAAGGCAATGACCCCCATATAAATAACACATATATATAACATATACCAACATTATTCCAACATACCAACTTAAAGTGCCAACATAAATTTAACCATGGCAGGGGTATACCCGGATACCCCTACCCCACCAGGTTCTGAGCCACCGACAGGACTCGAAACCTACCAACCACCAATGACCACAGTTTTCCATATCTGTCACGTTCATCCTAGGGAGCCTATTCCTTCTCCTTCAGCTCCCTATCCCGCCGCTGTGAAAAAACGGGATATCCCCTAACCATAAACAATATCTATAGGGAGGGTGGGCGGGACAAACTTAGCCAGGTAGGAAATTAGAAGTGAGCTCACTTAAAATGGCTGCCTATTTAAATAGCCCAGCCTACTTACCCATAACTCCATACTTCCTTCCCTCCTCCTATGCCCGCCTCCTAACCCCTGTCAAGGCCCTTTTTTCGCTTAGCTGTGCTTTGGCTGCATGGGGCTACATGACCGGTGTATAGTCGCCATATGGGCAGTCGGACTCCAGGACATACCTAACCCAATAATGCACTGACACTCGGGTATATGGGAAAATTTGTCCACAGCTTTATTAAACAATCTGAATAATAATAACCATATATTCAACATAACATAATAATAGTAATAATTTAACAAATAACATGGGTCATTGCCCCCCATACTCCGCCCTCGCATCCGATTCCTTCTGTTAATATAAAAGGCAATGACCCCCATATAAATAACACATATATATATAACATATACCAACATTATTCCAACATACCAACTTAAAGTGCCAACATAAATTTAACCATGGCAGGGGTATACCCGGATACCCCTACCCCACCAGGTTCTGAGCCACGACAGGACTCGAAACCTACCAACCACCAATGACCACAGTTTTCCATATCTGTCACGTTCATCCTAGGGAGCCTATTCCTTCTCCTTCAGCTCCCTATCCCGCCACAAGCTCAGACCTTGACCCCTTAAGCCGTCTGAGCTCCGCCACTCCGAAGAAATAGCGCCTTGGTTATTCCGTCTTGCCAACCCAGGTTCAGCAGGTCACATCCCACTGCCGAAAGATGAACGCCATCTGAGCGGTAGTACCCCGGCAACCCGCCTTCCAACTCGCTGTGCCGCACTACTACCCCCCCAACTTCCTTATGAAGCTTGCCATCAAGCTATTCACCTTCTTTCTACACTTGTCGATGGCCACCGGGTCCCTCGCGTGCCGCCACCGCCTCCTCGGGATAATCTCTGACCATACTAACATTACTCCCGGAAGCAGGTCCCTCAATTTGTTGAGGTCCTGCTTCATCCACTTCACCAACCTCCGCTGTGGTGTTAGGCCCAAGTCATTGCCCCCCGCATGTAGCACCAGCAGGTCCGGCCCCTGCCCTCCTGCCACCATCCGGAACACTTCCCGGCAAACTTCCCCTCAGCAAAAACCCCTATACCCGAACCATTGCACCACCAACTGGTCCCTTGAAAAGCCCAGCTGCTGGCCCTGAGCTCGAGCTGCGGCTCTCCTTTCGGCCCAGAAAACAAAGGAATGGCCCACGATCCATGCAACATAGCCTGGGGAAGACAGAAAAAACAGACACCCCCTTATCGCCCTCCGGGAACCCCCGAAAAAAGGCCCGACATATCATTCTAACAACCCCAACCGCACGTACGACCGGAACCGTACTGACTCCCACCTGCCAATTCGTTTAACTACGTCATCCACCAGACCCAACCTTGCGGCTTCCGTGGCCGCACCGATGCGAAAGGAATGCGTACCAAAGCTATCCACCCGTAACCCCATTTTTCCCAGGCCCCACCGAAAAATCTTAATAAATTGAAATCGGGAGAGGGAAGACCCATCTGCGTGCACCAGGAGGGATCCCCCAACCGTCGGCCTCCGGACCAAATACTCTGCCACCGAGGCTACCGGGCACAGAACAGAGCCCGGCAGGGCCCGAAGTGTCACATCACGGCCCACCCCCCGTGAATCCGTCTTAGATTCGGCCAGGTGAACCACCAATTTCCCCCCTTGCAGCCGAACCCCGGAGACCTGTAGGCCCCCGGCCGCTACCCGATTGGCACTCACCAACTCGCTAATCCGGAAAGCCCCGAAGAAAGCCAACAGAAACGCTGTCCGAAACAGGGACACCTCAAACTCATCAAAGCAAATTCCAGGCAGCCCACTAACCAGATCCCCCAACACCCGCACCGACACCGGGCGCCTAGTGTCTGGAAACCTGCGCCCCTTCCGATAACCCTTAAGCGCCTGCCTGATGACGAAGGACTTGGTAACGTCCTCCTTCCCATGAAGCTTAAACCAGAAAGCCATCGCTGCCATGGACCTGTCAACCACTGCCGGGGAGGCCCCTTTTGCCAGCAATTGACAGGTGTACCACAGAAACGCGTCCCGGAGTGATTCCCCTTCCGGCACGCAATCCGGCCCAGCCCAAGATCGTTCCCACGAACCCCACACCTTACTGTAAGCGGCCCATGTGGCCGGTGCCAGAGAAGCCTTCACAAGTCCCCCAAGCAGGACGCTCCCAGCCGCCAAATTTCGTCCGGGCACGCCTGGCCCGTTTCCTGCGCCTCCGGTGCCACCGTCCGGAATCGGGACCACTGAAAACGAGAGAGAGCGTCAGCCACTTCGTTCAAGTACCCGGGCACATGGCGCGCGCGAAAGACAACATTGCGGGACATGCACATTAGGACGAAGTGCCGCAGCAACCGGACCACCGGTTTCGACGCCGCCGACTGATTATTCACTGCGTGCACCACCGCCATATTGTCAGAGAAAAAGACCACCTTCCTGTCCCGCAGCCCTTCCCCCCATAGAGCCATCGCAACCACCAGCGGGAACAATTCCAGGAAGGCCAGGTTCCGCATAAGGGGGCTCTGCCCCCACGCCAGCGGCCACCTCTCCGCGCACCATTTCCCACCAAAGTACGCCCCGAAGCCCACACTACCCGACGCGTCAGTGAACAGCTCCAGTTCTGTCACCGACACCCCTTCCTGCCGAAAGAACACTGTCCCATTAAAGTCTCGCAAGAAGGTATCCCACACGGCAAGGTCGGCCCTCATGGCGGACGATACCCGGATGAAATGGCGTGGGGATTGCACCCCCGCCGTAGCTGCCGACAGGCTGCGGCTAAAAACCCTACCCATCGGGATTACCCGGCAAGCGAAATTCAACATCCCGATCAACGACTGCAGCTGCCGCAGGGTGACTTTCCTCGCCCGCGCTACTGCTGCCACCGACCCTTTCAGCCCTTGCAGCTTTGCCAGCGGCAGCCGACATTCGCCCCGCACCGAGTCAATCTCCAGCCCCAGGAAACTAAGGCACACTGCCGGGCCTTCCGTTTTATCCGCTGCCAAAGGGACCCCGAAGCACCCAGCGACCCACTCAATAGTCCGCAGCAAACGCTGGCAAGCAGGAGTGCTTGCCGGCCCCACGCAGAAGAAGTCGTCCAAATAGTGCACCACTGATCCATTCCCTGCCTCCACCCGTACCACCCATTCGAGGAAAGTGCTGAACTTCTCAAAGTATGAGCACGAGATGGAACAGCCCATGGGGAGGCACAAGTCCACAAAGTATGCCCCTTCAAAGAAACACCCCAGAAGGTGGTGACATGCCGGGTGGACCGGAAGCAGCCGAAATGCTGCCTCGATGTCCACCTTTGCCATCAGCGCCCCGCGCCCGGCCTTCTTAACCAGCTCGACCGCCCGGCCGAATGATGCATATGAGACCGAGCACAACTCTTTGTCGATATCATCATTCACCGACGCTCCCTTGGGGTAGGAGAGGTGGTGGATGAGCCTGAACTTCCCCGGCTCTTTCTTGGGTACCACCCCGAGCGGGGAAACCCTAAGGCCTTCCAACGGCGGTGCTGAGAACGGGCCCGCCATCCTACCCAATAAAACTTCCTTTTCTAATTTCTCCCGCACCACCCCCGGGAACTCCGCCACCGACTTAAGGTTGCACCGCACCCCAGATCCCCCCCTGTCCCGGAACGGGATAAAAAACCCTTGCCCAAAGCCCGCCCGTAGCAACTCGGCGTCTGCCCTGTTACCGTAGCGGCTTAGCCATGGCTCCATCGCGTCTAGCCTCACCGGGGTTAAGCCCCGTGGCAGAGGAGTCCCCTCCTCCTTCCCCAACCGTAGCAGCGACTCCGGTATGTCCTGACTTCCCCTTTTTGAAGCATCGGTTAAGCCCGTGTGTGCCCCCGCAGCCGGAGCACTCGTGCTTAAAACGACAGGTGTTCCCCCATTTGCACTGGCCTTCATTGAAGAGCCAGCATAAGCCCTTTTGCAAGGCGGCCGACGAGGCGGACTGCCCCTTTGCGCCGGCCGTGTGCTGAAAGGGCTGCGCCTTCTGCGCCATCATCAATTTCATCCAGAGGGGCAGGTCCATTTGGTCCCATCTCATACCCGGATTAGCCGCCAAGCGCTGCCGGAACTGCTCATCATACCGCCACCACGCCAGCCCGCCGTAGGTGCGGTATGCCTCCCAAATTCCGTCTAAATAGCAAAACAGGGAGGAGCACGATTCCGGCGATTTCTCACCTAGGACACTGGCCAGGACGCAGAACGCCCTTAGCCAGTTGCCAAAAGATTTCGGTATCTTACGATACCGCTTCTTTTTCTCCTCCTCCTCTTTTTTCTCGTCTTTCTTATCTTCCTCCTTGAGGTCTATAAACTCCTCTAAGGGGAGAAGGGAAAAGATTTCACAGAATTCGCCCTTCCAGATCTTGTCTTTCACCTCCTGTTTGAGGTGCACCCCGAGCGACCAGCGAACGACACGTATGCGTGCTGTCTGGCCGCATCAGGGACCCCCCCACCAGTCAACTCCGCCCGCTCACTCGCTGCGTCCGCCCTGCTGCCAGCCGCTCCCGAATCCCCGCTCGAACTCGGTTCTGCGGAGATAACACCCGTGGCCCCTGTCCCCTGTGCCCACACCTGACCTACACCGCCACCCGTGTCACCCCCCGCTCCCAGCGAGTGGAGAAGTGTTTGTAGTGTGTGAATCAATGTACTGGATTGCAACGAGGCACAGGACTCACCGGCCAAGCCCCCCGGTCTCCGAGCGCTGGGGGCTGCGTAGTCCACTGTAATCCGTCCGGGAGGAGCGACCTCCGTTAACGACCCGCCGACCGGGGAGCCAACCCGGTGCCCAGCTAAAACAGAAGATGACCGGCTCCGAGACCTGTAACGAGGAGAAGATGTCCTGGGTAGGGTGTAACGATCCCCTGTCACCCTCTCACCCCGACCCGGGGAGCGCCTGCCCTTCACCAAAGCCTCCCTCCGTGTGGTGCCCGTAGTCCGTGCTCCAGAGGCCTGGATGGCCCCGCCCCGTGGGCTACGACTCCTTCCCCCCCAGCGTTCGGTCCGCCCCCGCCGACCATGCCTGGGGGCCCTGACCCTGCTCCTGTCCGACCCCTCAGAGGTGGAACTGTCCTGTCTTGACCTACCCCTAGCTCCCCCAGCTCCCTGATCCCTAACTGGGGATGGGCTAATGCTGCTAGACCCCGAGCTAGACCCCCCCTCCTGCCACTGCGCCCCAGCACCTGCCTGTCCACCCGGGCCAACCCCCCACCCCCACCTGGACGGGCTCCCCGGCCTACAATACCCGCTTTATCCAGCCTAGCCACTGCCTGATCAACTAACCCCCCTGCTCCCAGGGGCCCCGACTGCCCCACAGGCCCAGGCCCACCCCTAATCCCAGAGGGAGACCCCCTGTCTAATCTTGTGGCACTGAGGGACCCCTTAGGCGCCCCTGACCTCTTCCCCCTCACTACCCGCCCCTTCTCCAGTACCACTGAACTACCCTGGGCACTGCCCACGACCCCCCTCCTTTCCCCTTGTAACCCTAGAGTGGCCGGCCTAGTACCCCCCGTCCCTCCGTCTCCACTACCCCCAGGCAACTCCTTCCCCACACCCAGCACGCCAAGAGAGCCCCTGGCGGGGCCCCCTGCACTTGCCTGTCTGTCCTGGGGCCTGCCGGACGGCTTCACGGTTCCGGCCCCGCCTGTTGCATCCGCTGACCTCCTGGTCGTCCTCCTGGGCTGCGGCCCCACGTGGTCCATCACTCCAGGGGGCCCGGCCGGTGCCGCGGCCCCCGCTCCTGGCGCGGCCCCCTCCGACCTGGGAGCCGGACCGCCGCCGTCACGGGCAGCCTCCCGCCGCGCAGCATGTCCCCAAGGCCCCGGTAGCGCGCTGGGAGGCGGGGCCTCGACCGCGCTGCTACCGGGCCTCCTGGCCCGCACTGGACGATCCTGTGCGCCCTCCTGGGCCGCCATTCCCGCCAGGGCCGGTCCGAGCTGGGCCCGCAACCAATCCGCTCCATGACCTCGCGCTGCTGACCGGTTCCCCTCTAGCAGCCTCTCCACTTCGTCCATGGCCCTGCAGAAATGACAAGAAGGAAAAAAGGCCCTACCTAACCCAATCTGCACACACAGAAGTGCACACAAACTTAGCCAGGTAGGAAATTAGAAGTGAGCTCACTTAAAATGGCTGCCTATTTAAATAGCCCAGCCTACTTACCCATAACTCCATACTTCCTTCCCTCCTCCTATGCCTGCCTCCTAACCCCTGTCAAGGCCCTTTTTTCGCTTAGCTGTGCTTTGGCTGCATGGGGCTACATTCCTGATAAGTTTTATCCTGCAATCCATGAACCAGTTTAGTAGCCCTTCTCTGAACCCTCTCTAAGGTATCAATATCCTTCTGAAGATACGGTCTCCAGTACTGTGTACAATACTCCAAGTGAGGTCTCACCAGTGTTCTGTACAATGGCATTAGCACTTCCCTCTTTCTACTGCTAATACCTCTCCCTATACAACCAAGCATTCTGCTAGAATTTCCTGCTGCTCTATTACATTGTCTGCCTACCTTTAAGTCATCAGAAATAATCACCCCTAAATCCCTTTCCTCAGATGTTGAGGTTAGGACTCTATCAAATATCCTGTACTCTGCCCTTGGGTTTTTACATCCAAGATGCATTATCTTGCACTTATCCACATTAAATGTCAGTTGCCACAATTCTGACCATTTTTCTAGTTTACCTAAATCATTTGTCATTTGTCTTATCCCTCCTAGAATATCAAAGCTGTTACATATCTTTATTAGATCTAGGATTCATATAGTAGCCGTGTGTCATCTAATTTTAATATTCTGTATTTTCTATCTAGGATTTGATAATCTGTACGTTAGATATATGACACAATATACTGTATTTTAGATCTGGGATTCACGTAGTAGATTATACCTTTAGGATGATCATCCTTTTTTTACATTTTTTATTTTTTTTTATTCCATAGAAAGTCAACCAGATGAGCCGGTTGGAGGAGGATTACCTGTAAAGGTGAGCTTTTTATAATGCTATAGCTTGATATCATAAATGCTTAATTTACTTCAATACACAAGTAGTAGTGTAATACACAAGTCAGGAAATAGTACGGATCATACTCCAAATTTCATAAGTTCCATGGTACACAACAGAAGGCTTTGTCGCTAAATAGTAAGAAATAGAACAAAAACAGTCTGGACCAAGGCAACTACCCATGGAATGGCTGTGACGATGTGTTTGGATGACCTCATACAAATAAAAAGTTAGTGGGGAAAAGCTAAACAATTGTTCCAAATCTATATGTGAATAGAGATGTTTCTTCACTCAAATCAATTTGAGTAATTTATCCTTGTGTTCTGAAAAGTGATGGTTAATTTCTGTCATCTTTATCATTTATAGTATTATGAAAGGGATCCAAAAAGCGACGATTTTCTTGATAGTGCATTCCACCCGTTTTCACCTTTTTCAGTAGATTGACAAATTTACATGGTTATTTACTAAAGACAGAATTAAAAGAGAATTTCAAATTTAAGGTCTGAGTATCTGAACTAATAGTATAGCTGACTAACCTTGAATTTTTTATATTCACTGTGTATTCTCACTGTACAAGAATATATTTCTGCTGGAAAATGTGACGGAAAGATTGAGAAGTCTTCTCTGTCAGGATCCAAACCTTAATTTTGGTATTTCATTCCCTTTGTTCAAGTTTTTTTCTGCAGTAACTATGTTTTTGACACTACTAGCAAGAAAGATTCCCAGGTATTCAAAATGTGAAAGCCGCAGGCAGATTTATTGCAACAAAATAGACCACAACATTTCGATCTAACGAGGTCTTTTTCAACCACTGACCACCTTCCTAACCTCTGTCTGAATTCTCTCTCATCTTTACCTGCCTGGACTGATTACTCATGCTATAAGAGGCCACACCTTGTTAACAGACACTGCCTTTACATTGATTGAAGTTGTGGTTCTGGACAAATGTGTACGTAGTGGGGAATGTGGTGTGACTAAAAGAAAGACTACCCCCTTATCCCCCAATAATGACAGACAATGCATATTGGATGAAACAGGCCACAGCATTTATTAAAATTTACAACTGTAGGACACATCCGAACTGTACTCTCTTGCTTTAATTCAAATATAAATAAACACATACATATATACCATAATTAACATATAAATTACACTTATTGCCCTACAGCCTCCAACTTAAATAACCGTCCTTGCCAACGAACTTAACCAGGTGCCTATGCACCAAAACTTTACCCACTGGTGTCTCGCCTCCCCCCTCGTCCAAACCAAATTCCCATCATCTTAAATGCTCTACCACCAGCCGGCTCTTAGCTCGGTGGGCACGTCCTATTCAGTAACTTGAAAGCTTACCTTACAGAGCAGGGGAGGGTGAGACCCACCATGTCCATCTCCTGACATTCCATCTGCTCCCCAACCCTGTTGGCAAGGACACGCTCCCCGCTAGCTGTGACGAAACAAAAAACATAAATTAGGGTGGGTGGGTGGGAAGTTGTTTGCTGGCCAGAATCCAAAAGGCACTGAGGTAAGGCGATCCCTGCTCCCCTACAAACACATAGCCACTCCCCTAAACACATACAGCCACTCCCCTAAACACATACAGCCACGCCCATATACACATACAGCCACGCCCCTATACACATACAGCCACGCCCCTATACACATACAGCCACGCCCCTATACACATACAGCCACGCCCCTAAACACATACAGCCAATCACTAGCACCATCCCCACACTCATACATGTGCCCTTGTCCGTTTAGCTGTGACTCCCCAGGGACTTGACCTGTCTTCTGTTCCTGACTCATACTGAGAAACCTGCTCAACTCCAAATACCTTTGAACCATCTTGATTTATTCATCCAACCTGTTAGTTTCCAGACTGCACTTTTCGAAGAAGCTTGGTAACAAATCCTGATTTCCAATTCCAACCGGTTTTCATTCATATTGGACTTTAACTTTTTACCTTTTTTGCATACCGACTTTATAACTACCGGAGTCAACTCCACCAACTTGCTTTATTCATGCTGGACTTTGTTGCCTCTTTACTTTTGTTGAAAACACCTTTTCACTCCAACCGAATTCAACGCCACATACCTGCATAATACAGACTATTCTAACTATTTGCTACTATCATGAATAACCCTTCTGCAATTATCAGATAACTGCATTACTACCTCCAACCAAAAGACCCTGAATAACTAAACGTCTATTTAATCTGAATTAATTGTACCTCTTATTATATTATGTTTGCCAGTAACCTATAATTTCTCTTATAGGTTTTCCCTCTCTTGATTTACCTGTTACGTGATAACCTGCTTGGGGCATATTTCCTAAACTCTGGATTATGTTCTTTCCTTATACCTATATTTCCCCTTATAGGCTCTATGGCAGCCACCCTGAGAGAAGAGGGGTTTCCTCAACCATTCCCCCTAGTGTGAGTAGTGCTGTAGCATTTCCAAGTAGTTATCCAAATGGTAAATAAAGCAGGTAAAGCTGTTCCCTACAATCACAAGACAAGGCTCTTTGTTGAGGGTGAAGTAAACTAGTTTTAATGGGACCACACACGGCCTTTTATGGGAATCCCCATTTAAGGGGTTCACTATAACACATTCCAGGGGCATTCCCCACTGGACATGAGAGAGACAGACACAAAGTACACAACATAATTATATTAACTCTCAGGTCTAGGACACTTATATGAATAAACACACCTTTAACAGTGCAGTACCCCCTTATATACAATATCCATGGACAGCCTGGGTCTGAGCACCCAACATATCCAAAAAATGCTCACATCCCAGGAACATAGCCGATACGCCACCAGGATATATATTTTAGACCGACCGCACCTGAGGCGCTTGCCCGAAAGATTTCCATGAAATCAGCCTGCGGTCGGTCTCTTTCGGGACTACGAAATATGTCTCTGTCTCTATCTTGTTCAGGAGTATGCTCCCACCAAACGCCGCTTAGATGAATGGAAACTAACATGGATGTTCCAGTAGTGTTAGCTCCATCGAGTGTCCAATAATAGTTCCAAACACCTCTGGGTGTGTTTGAAAACCAAGATGGCCGCCTTCTCGTTTTCATCCATCCGAAACACAGCCGACCACTTAGAATGTTGAAGTGACTGTGGTTTGTGAAAGTGTTAGTGAGGTTAAGTGGGTTAACGAGCGGCACACTGCTGTTCTGGGTGGTCCATGTATTTGGTACTTTTTTGGTATATTAACCAAATAGGGCAATCTGTTCGGTAAGGATCGTTTACCAATCCAGTCAATGCAAAATAGTTATTTTAGGAACAGGGGATCTGTTACAGGTTTGCTCTTCTTCATAACCTATAATTCTGCTTATAGGTTCTCGTTATGCCTCCTAACCTATAAATCCATTTATAGGTTCTTCTATCCATTCCTTTATATTGTTACTTGCCTATAATTTCATTTATAGGTGCTCCTTCTCACTATTCCCTTATTTCTACCTATAATTTTGTTTATAGGTTCTGCTTCTATCAACTTCTCTATAACCTGTCTGGGACTTATTGTCTAAACCCTTTATTCTATAACACTCATTACTTACCTGTAATCTCGTTTATAGGTACTGCTTTATCACTTTTGTCTTTATTTCATTTGTCTTGCTTCACTTATTTCAAGTTTAAAACATGTCTTACAATTCCAATAAAGAACCTAAACTTAGCCCCAGTATAAGTCTCCTAACTGACCTTATCAGAACCATGACACTCTCTCTGTGAGTTCAATGTGGTTTTCAATTTATAGGCCTAAGTAGATAAAGTGGAAGCATTGCTGACTTGGAGATTTCTTTCCAATTTAGATATTTTGGCCTTAAATTTGAAATTCACTTTGAATTCTCATTTTAGGGAATAACTCTGAGTACTGACCTTTTTCTGTCAGCTACTTTAATCATGATGTGTATTCTCATATAGACATTTACATTTTGGCTGATGTCATGAGAAGTCATACAAATTACAGGTAGTAGTGGCACATAGTCATAGTCGATGTCCACATTCAGGTCCTTAACCAAGATCAGTCCATAAAACAAAAACAGTATAAGTAGAATATGCATACCTCCCAACATTCCAAATGGACAAAGAGGGGCACTTTCATTTTACAAATGTGAGTGGGAGTGTAGCTAGGTATAAGGCTTTCTGGATGTGTTTACATTGCAGCTCTAAGTCTGCTCACAGTGGCTGTCTACCATACAGCCACTAGAGGGTTTACTGAATCGAAACAAACCTTGGTCCGGTATCTGACGCTGGACATCCTTGCGCTCTGCATGAGGACCTCCACCATCAGTTTTTTTTGTTTTGTTTTTTTTTTTTCCATTAGGAAAGCATTGAATCAATGTGTTCCTATTGGAGGTCTAATGTGTGCGTGACTTTTTTATTTATTTATTTATTTATTTTTTACCCTTTATTTAGCCGGGAGGTAAAAATAAATAAATGTATTTTTATATATATATTATACAATTTTGAGGTGGGTAGAGACTTTTATTTAATTTTTAAGCCTTAGCCTGCTGGCTGCTTTTGCTACCTGTGGACAAATATATACATTTTAATTTTTTATTTTTTTAATATTGTATTTATATCTCAAAATGCCTGATTGCATATTTGGTTAGAGTGAATCTGGTTAAATTCTGATGTTTAAGAATGTGTTTGGCTGATATACACTATTCTCTATTACACTCTGCATTTGGCTGATATGCACTATTCTCAGTTTCTGTGTTTGGCTGATATGCACTATTCTCAGTTCCTCTCTCTTTGGCTGATCTACACTATTCTCTGTTAAACCAAAGAAGGTGATAAGCGCACACAATAAGAATAATAAATTACCTTTATATACAAAATCCCTCTTATATTAAATTGTTTAGAGCCCATTAAAGAGCATATATGCCTCTTTATAGATACAAGGTGATTTCCTCCACTGGTTAGGATCCCAAGAAGTGCAAAATTGCTGAAATTAGGAACTCCAAGAATTACTTAGTACTTAGTATATTAAAACTAAACAAATGCACAACGCGTTTCAACCCCAAACTGGGTCTTCCTCAGGTGCTGATAAATGTTACACTGACATGTGTATCTTTATGTACAAACATTATAATGAATTAATCACATGTAAAAAAAAAAAAAACTCCCATTACCAAATATGGTCAAAAAACCGGAAACTCCTTGTGTCACTTCCAATATGGTGACGTTTCCGGCTTGGATTTACACTTCCTGTATACCGGCCATATTGGTAACTTCTAACAATTGGTAACTTCTGCAAATGAAACGCACACATGATTTTCTTAAAAATTCACCACATCGCTTCTGGGTCTTTTCTTTAAGTCCATCGTATCATTTCCGTTTCATTGCTTCCTGTAATGTATAGCGCCCATACAAAAAGGTCCGCATCGTCACTTCCTGTGATGTTTTCTCACAGGCCCTTTCACTGGGTTCATACGTCCATAGGTTATCTTTAAGTCAAAAAGGCATTCAGTTCTCAGTGTCCGAACCGCTGGATGTCATTTTGAGGGTGGGCATAGTCCCATGCATATCACATAAAGGAAAATGCAGAGAGGATAAAAATAAGACCATTAACATTTTTTTTATTAAAACTGTTTAAAAGGACTATGCATAATAAAACCATAGGAACGGAATACCTATACAAATCCTAGTTTAAAAAAGGTGGGGGGAAAAAAGAGAAGGGAAAAAATAGGGGGGTGGGCATCAGGAGAAAAATATATATTCTATAAAATAGGGTTGATTTCAAAGTCAATATTAAGTCCCTTATGGACTAAAGTAAGCAACTAAAAAATCAATTTTTTCCTCTCCAATATGTATTGACCTTCTCAATTGCACAAAATTCTAAGTGCCTTGATTTTAAAAATCCCTTTTTGATATTTCCACCATGTTCACGTATTCTCACTCTAATTGGTCTAGATGTTTTGCCTATGCACTGTAGTCCACATGTGCACCGCAGTAAATTGATACGATTGCGCGAATGGCACGTACTAAGTGATTTGATTTTGTACTCTTTCTTAGTAATGACAGAAATAAAATTGATAAAATTTTTATTTGATACATTTGTATTCCGACATGCATTGCACATCCCAAAATGAAAGAAGCCCTCATGCTCCTGCGACCAATTGGTTAAAAAAAAAAATTTGGAATATCATCCTTCACATAACTGAGTTAGGATTTGTTTTACATTTCTTGCACCTCAAAAATTTTAGTTTTTTTGGCCTATCATCTTCTTGCAGGATGTACCAGTTTTTATTAATTATTCTTTTACCAGTGCCCATGTTACTAGAGAAATTGAACATAAAAGGAATTTAATTTATCTTTCTTTCTTTTTCTATAGTTAAGTAGAGGCAATCTGTTCAGTTTTGCAACAGTTTCTGTATAGTTTTGTAGATTTTGACTATTTTTTATCTTTTCTGCTCAAACAGTTTTTTTTAATAGTTGACTGGGAAATAAATCAGCCTGGCTGGTACAGATCCTACGAATTCTCAGGAAATGTCCCTTTGGTATATTATAAAACCAGGGACGGTGATGGCATCTATCTTGTTCAATATAACTTGCATCCACTTGCTTAAAGTGCAGGTCATAAGAGCATTATTTAAAACATAAATATTCAAGTCTAAAAAAAAAAATCTATGCTCTGATCGCTTACACTTTTCGTAAGAGATGCACCAGTCATTAAAATTAAGAGAATTAAAAAAAAAACTGAAATCACACGATCCTTTCCAAATAATTGTCATCAAACTCATGCTCCTGGTAAATAAAGTCTTTCCCAGTATGCCATAAAAAAATTGGCGTAGCTTGGTGCAAACTTGGTCCCCTTTACTTGTAAAAAGAAATCCTCTTCAAACCAAAAATAGTTATATAACGTCATTTTAATGCCCTCTCAGATAAACCTTTTTTTTTTTTTTCCCTATATTGATTTGACTGATTTTTAAATAAAAAATCTACCGCCTCACACCCTTTGTGATGCTCAATATTCATATAAGGGCTGGTGACATCACATGTGATTACATTCCATTTAAAATTTATTTAAGACACATGGAGTCTGGTAAAAAGGATGGGCATGTTTTAACTAGAGGTTGTAGGTGAAGGTCAATATACCGGGGCAGGGAAGATAAAATATTATTATTTATATAGCGCCAACAGATTACGCACAGCTTTACAATATTATGAGAGGGGGGATGTAACTATAAATAGGACAATTACAAAAAACTTATGGGAACAATAGTTTGACGAGGACCCTGCTCAATAGAGCTTACATTCTATAGGAGGTGGGGTGTAAAACACATTAGGACAGGAATTTGCAATCAAATAAGGTTGGCTGCCCTTTAGGAGAGAGCAAGAGACAGGTATGTGAGGTAGAGGTTACTCTGGGAGGCCATAAGCTTTCCTAAAGAGATGGGTTTTATGGAACTTCTTAAAAGATGCAAGACTAGGGGAGAGTCTGATGGCGGTAGGCAGGCTATTCCATAGGAAGGGAGCCGCCCACGAGAAGTCCTGCAAGCATGAGTTGGCCGTATGGGTGCGGACAGGAGGTGGTCACGGACAGAGCGGAGAGACCGAGAAGGGACATATCTATGGATCTGTGAGGAGATATAAGAGGGGCTAGAGTTGTTCAGTTCTTTATAGCTGTGAATTAGTACCTTGAATTGACTCCTATAGCATACAGGAAGCCAACGTAAGGACTGACAGAGGTGTGAGGTGTGAGAGAAACGACTAGAGAGGAAAATCGGTCTGGCAGCAGTGTTCATTATGGACTGTAGTGGTGCAGTACGCCTTTTGGGAAGACCAATCAGGAGAGGGTTACAATAATCAATGCAGGAAATTACTAGAGCATGGACAAGCTCCTTGGAAGCATTTTGTGTAAGAAAGGGGCGGATGAGGGCTATGTTTTTAAGATGGAATCTACAGGATTTGGCAACATGCTGGATGTGAGGCTCAAAGGTGAGGCCAGAATAAAGTATGATGCCAAGACAGCACGCTTGAAAGGATGGACTGATGTGGGTACCACTAATTTGAAGGGAGAGCGAAAGAGGAGGATCAGTATTAGGAGGAGAAAAGACAAGGAGCTCAGTTTTAGAGAGATTGAGTTTCAAAAAGCAGAAGGACATCCAGTCAGAGATGGAAGAAAGGCAAACAGTGACACATTGCAGCACAGCAGGGGAGAGGTCTGGGGAGGAGAGATATATCTGGGTTTCATCAGCGTACAGGTGGTAGTGGAATCCAAAAGAGGTAATAAGTTTTCCAAGCAAGACAGTATAAAGAGAAAATAGAAGGGGACCAAGGACAGAGCCTTGGGGGACTCCAACCGAGACAGGACGAGGGGAGGAGGTATTATTAGAAAAGGAGACACTGAATGAGCATTGGGAGAGATAGGAGGAAAACCACGAGAGGACAGAGAGAGTGATTGAAGAGTTTGAAGAAGGAGAGCGTGATCAACGGTGTCAAAGGCAGCAGAGAGGTCAAGAAGAAGTAGTATGGAGTAGTGGCCTTTGGATTTAGCTGCGATTAGGTCGTTAGTAACTTTGATAAGGGCAGTCTTTGTAGAGTGGAGAGGGCGGAAGCCAGATTGAAGAGGGTCAAAGAGAGAGTTGGAATTGAGAAAATGACACACGGGTAAAGACAAGGAATTGATCCCAGAAACTAATGGTTGGCCTGGTTTTAGGATCTTATGAAATTTAGGCAAGATACAGATTACTGGAATCCTAGGGTGTTTTATAAAAATAAAAGTATTCACTTTTATTCAGAATATTATTCTTTAAGCCCATTTCTAAAAATATCTTAATTTTCTTTTCTCATTAGTGGGATCTTTTGAGTTTTCTGTATGTAGTTTCATCCTGTCCTTGTCTTTTTATTTCTTGTAAATAGATATTTCTTATCTAAAATGACTCCTCGTCCCTTATCTGCTGGTTTAAATGATCATTGTGGCGGTCATCTTTCAATAAATCTATAGTTTTCTTTTCCTTAATAAATTCTGTCCAAATTTAGACAGGCTTTCTTATAAATATCCTCCAAACAGGCCCATTCAAAGACTTTTTAAATTGTCGTGTTTTTTTTTTTTTTTTTTAACAGGATAAAAACTAGATCTCCTCTTTAGATTAGAATGAATAGAAACATAGAATGTGACGGCAGATAAGAACCATTCGGCCCATCTAGTCTGCCCAATTTTCTAAATACTTTCATTAGTTCCTGGCCTTATCTTATAGTTAGGATAGCCTTATGCCTATCCCACACATGCTTAAACTCCTTTACTGTGTTAACCTCTACCACTTCAGCTGGAAGGCTATTCCATGCATCCACTCCCCTCTCAGTAAAGTAATACTTCCTGATATTATTTTTAAACCTTTGTCCCTCTAATTTAAGACTATGTCCTCTTGTTGTGGTAGTTTTTCTTCTTTTAAATATAGTCTCCTCCTTTACTGTGTTGATTCCATTCATGTATTTAAATGTTTCTATCATATCCCCCCTGTCTCATCTTTCCTCCAGGGAATTTATTACTAGATCATTATCCAACATATGCTTAAATTCATCCTGTTTTTTCTTAAACATCTTTAAGGCATAATTTTCTGGTATATCAGTTTACGTCGTTCGAACTTATTAACAGGGCAACTAGTTGCAGATTAAAAACCTTTAAATCATTACTCTCTGCCTTCTTTGGCATTGTTTTTGACTTCCCTGTTTTCTGGCATCCCTGACTCCTGGCTTTTCCTTATCGTTGTGTCTCTTTCTGTTTCCCTTGACCTCGGCTATTCCTGACTATTCTTTGGTACGTTAGTCCGGCCATTCTAAGGTCCGGTATACGTTACCTATTAGTCCTCTGTTACACAATTCTACGTGCTGGATCATTCTGTAATCCTGACAGTTCTGAATTATTACTATTCTGTTACTCTCTGCATTTGGATGATATACACTATTCTCAGTTTCTGTTTTTGGCTGATATACACTATTCTATGTTTCTATCTCTGTTTTTCTGGTATACACTATTCTTTGTTATTGTGTTTGGTCGATAGGCACTATTCTCTGTGTTTGGGTGATAAACACTATTGTCTGTTACTCTCCACGTTTGGCACTATTCTCAGTTATGGTGTTTGGCTGATAAACACTTTTTTTATTTTTTTTATTGAATTTTAAATATTACAAGATTAATAACATAGGTATCAAACATGATCATGGAAAAAAAGAATAAAGCGCATACATGTTTGAACTAGCATGGTAACCATATTCATGGTCACAAAAGACAAACCACAACAAATTCATGCGGGGGGATGAGTGGGGAGAAGTAGAAAATGCCCATTTAAGATTATAGAAAGGATCGAGACCAAATGCATCTGTTCGTCAGGGGCCAAAGTCCCAAATCACAATTTCTTAATACATTCCAGCCAACCTTTTAAGCTCAACATATGAGGACCTAAATATGCCCATTTCCATTTTAATTTGGAAACTGAGTTCTCTAACGTCGAGCCAGGTAGGGGCTTACACCAGCTTCTGGCAATCAACATCTTGGCAGCAGACAAAAAATTAATGATAGTTCACTATGTATCAAACATTTTTGGGATATTTAATTGTAATAAGAGGCTAGGATGAAATTCAATTGTTTTTGAGAATACATTTTAGCTTTTATGTAACCTGTTTCAAAATAATTGAATAGGAGGACAATCCCACCACATGTGCAAAAAATCTCCAACATCTATCTGAAGCCATTTGGTAAATCCTAGACAATCTGCTTGGAACTAGGTACCATTTATTTAACACTTTATAGTGAATTTAAGCAGTGTAGTTTTTTTTAGGGACCTTAGTTAGAGATTCTGTCCATTCCTCACAGCTAATCTGAATTTTCAAATCTTGCTCCCGCTTTTTATTTTTTTACAGGTAGGATAGGTTTTGTCGGGGTCACCCTTTAATCACATCCAAGCAGCCTGCCACCAAGTTATTCATTTCCATGTTTTTAATTAGTTTCTGTAGTTTAATCTGTTTCATAGATCTGTGACGTAATGTAATGTGATGTAATTAAAAATATCTCTATTGTGTAGACCAAGATCCTCTTTTAATGTAGTAAAATCTTTAACCCTATTCTCAATCAATTTCTCAATTTTGTTGAACCCAGCATTTATCCAACCAGAAAGATTTGTCTTCAACATTATGTATAATTTGTTTTATAGGTAGGCATGGAGGACTTTTATCTTGGCGATGCCATAAATTTTTTTTTATTTATTTATTTTTCTCATTTGTACAAGAGGTTGTTAAAAACCAAACTTCTAGAAGAAATCTTTGTGCGGTATTGCTTCTTTTCTTTTATCCTTTGTCTGCCAATATATTGGCACTAGTTCTTGGCTGACACGACCCAATTTGGTCAGACACATTTCAGTCTTATACCATACTTCTTCCTTGGCATTATCAAATTGGGTGCAAATATGGGCTAACCTACATGCTTTCCAGTAGTCTTTTAGCTGAGGTACCCCTAACCCACCTTGTTTAACTTTCAGTGCTAAATAAGTTGCACAAATACGGACGGTGGTGTTTACCTAGCCCAGTGGTAGTCAACCTTTTTCTACCTACCGCCCACTAATGCAACTTTCTTGATGGAAGAACTTCCTTACCGCCCACCAGTTTTTGTGCAAGTGCGGAATATTTTTCAGAAAGGAGGGTGGTTTAAAAAAAAAAAATGTATGTCAATTTATCTTTTTATCTCTACTTTATGCATGTTTATAATAGTTTTTAACTTTATAAAGTTTAGAAAACAATAAAGTAAATTGAAAAATGGCTTTACTAGTGATTAATGAGATCCTTGAGGCTGATGCTGCGAGACTAAAGATTTGATATCTGGTTCGATTTTCATAAGGAACAAACGAAGGTCTCCTCTTTCGGTGATATTCAGACGGTTTCTCTGTTTGCGCATAATATGATTAACAGCACTAAAGCCTGATTCTACAAGATATGTGGTAGGGAAAGGTATCAATAAATTGAACATCATTTCCCCATATTTGGAAATAACGCAGGCATTTTTTTTATTTTGCCAGAGTTTTTCGTACCCACCACTGCCAAAATTACATTTATTTAAGCTCTAATTCTTCTTGGCATGTTATATCAACCTCAGCAATATTTGCTGTAAAAGGATTTATCATCCAGTTATGCATCTTTAAATCATTTTTCCATATCCAATTTGAGTTCTTTGAGGTGGCTACTGAACCTTTCAATATCCCCCGGAGTTATATCATTGTTTATAGAGGACAATTCAGGAAACTGATGAAATTCTCTCTTGAAAATATTATGACGGAGAAGATCAAGATATATAGATATAGATATAGATATAGATATAGATATAGATATATATATGTATATATGTATATGTATATGTATATATATATATATGTATATATATGTATATTTTTTTTAATTATTATTTTTTTTTAACTTATAAGAGTTAAATTGGCTCCTTGAAGCTGCAAATTAATTTCATTAAACATCTGCTAAATAAAAGGCATCATTCTTTACGTTTTTTTAACTGTTCATAGAGACCAGCCTCATTATCACTTTCAAAAAACTGTATGACACTATCAAATAATGCAACAAAACGAGACAAGCATGTACCCTTTGAGAGCCATCGAACTTCTGTATGTAAAAGTAACCTAATAAACTGCTCGTTTTTGTCCTGGCACAGCTGTCCAAACATGCTTTAATTATTATACTTAATGATGAATGGAGACTTGTAATTAAATGTTTTCCTACAATATGTTGTCTGTGCACAACACAATGAATACACAAAACGTTTGGCACTTCTTCCTTCAAGTAAGCAACAAACCCACGATAGCGGCCTACCATTGATGGTGCTCCATCAGTAGCACATGCAACAATATTGTTCGGGGTATATAGTTTTTTGCAAAGAATGATTTCACAGCATTAAATATTGATCATTTTGTATCTGTAATCAGATTGACAGTGAATAGCATTTATTCTTGCTATGTATTGTTTTCATCAAGGTACCGTACACATGTCATCAGTAGGGCATTATTATCTGCAATGACAGACTCATCCAATTGTATGGAAAATGAAGAATTTTGGAGAATACCTATAAATCTATTTTCAACATTAGCCACCATTTCATCAATGTGTCTCTTTACTGTGTTATCGCTAAGGGGCAATGTATTTAAAACCTTAGGTGTATCCTGATGCACTAATGTTGCGATAAATTCTTTGATAGAGGGTATTATCAAAGTTTCTCCAATATTTTGGCTTCTACCACTTTTTTTGCAATTAAGTGTGATATACGATAAGCTGCAGTTAATCCATCTTCATTCTTTGCATGTTGTTTTTGAAATGATGAATCTATTGTTGAACGATTTTGAATATTTTTATTTTTATAGATTTCTTGAAAATATTCAATGGGCTTATCTATATCTTGCGAATGCTTTGTAGCAAGATGTTCTCGCAATCGACTTGGCTTCATTGCTTCATTAGATAATGTCTTGTGGCACAGTAAACACATTGGAAGCTGTTTATTTCTAACAGATTCAATGAAACCCATCTTCAGATACTCTGGGAAATAGGCACGAGCATATTTCATTTTTTTTCTGACATGGGTTCTAAATTTGTTTCAAAATTTAACTACTTTTACGTTTTGATCTGCACTCCACACAGTGCTTTTTTCCCCTCTTTTCCTTTTTATTGCAAACTCCAAAAACAATGCTGTATTAGGTGCCAATTTTTATTAAGTGTCACCATAAAAAGAAATTCCCCCCTTTTTTTTTTTATTCTTTATTTTATAAGATAACAAAACTTAATTTATGAGCCAGACTAAACACGGCTTACTCTCCTCCTTTATTTTATCCCCTTTTCTCTATTTTTTTTTTCCCCCTTTTTTAATTTTTTTAATTTTTTTTAATCTTTTTTTCCTTTTTTATCTCCTTTCTTTTACTTTCCTTAGGGCAATGTACAAAAGTAAGATTGAGCTTGTCGTCGTCATCTCCTTGTCCTGCTAACTTTTCTTTTTCCTATTTTGCAACTGCTCTGCTCCACTTCTACCTGTCCCTGCTATCAGTTTCCACTCCTCCCCTTCCCACTTGTTTGCGTGCACGCACGCATTGGTTCATTGATGTGTCCGCTCGTGCCAGCCAACTTGCTCAAAAGGAGGTTTTAACCTCAGAAATCCCTACCGCATGCATTCTCGCGTGCGTTGGTTCGTTGATGTGTGCCCACCCACTCGCACACAAGGAGGTTTTAAACCGCTGAAATCCCTACCGCCCACCTGGAATCCTGATAAGGACCAGGATGAATTTAAAATAGGACTGGGCTAAATTAAGCCAGCTGTCTGAACAAGACACAGGGATCATACAGAAAAGGTAAATCCAGTTCGGAAGGATATAAAACTTAGCAATGTTGATTCTTCCCCACCAAGAAATTTCCATAAATTTCCACCCTTTTAGTTTTTTTTTATTCGTATATCTCAAAGATGAAATGCACCTCCAAAATATTAGCTGGGTCGCTCATCTCCACACCCAAATATTTAAATGATGTACTAGAGCAATCTAAACCAAAAAGGTCAGATAGTACCTTCCTAATGTCACAAGATAAATTAATCGGCAGAACAACAGATGTTTAGATTTAATTTATACCCAGAGAGTCTCAAACTCACTAATAGTCATAAATCTGTCCATAGAAGAAATCAGCTCACATAACATCATAACCACGTCATCAGCATACATCGTAACTTGACTGTCTTCTGTCAGCACAGGCTAGCCTTTAATCTGATTATCTGCTCTAATTGCCACAGCTAGAGGTTTAATTATCCTTAAATATAGTATAGGTGAAAGTAGGCAGCCTTGCCTAGTTCCTTTCTTCAGGAATAACCACTCCGATGAGAAACCAGAGCCTAATATTCTTGCCATGGGAAAAGTGTATAATGCTATAATATAATTAACTATCCTCCCGCAGAGCCCAAATGCTTCAAGGACCTGGGTCATGAAGTACCACCTGACTCTGTCAAACACCTTTTCGGCATCCAATGACAGTCAGGAGGGAAACCCCATCTCGCTGCGCCATATCCAATATATCGCTAATTCTTCTGACATTATTGATGGAAGATCTACTCTTGATAAAACTGGTCTGGTCTTTATGGATAATTGAAGGGATAATGTTATTTAGTCTAGCTGCTAAAATCTAGTTATGTTTATGTTAATGTTATCTAGTCTAGCAGCATACAATTTCAAGTCTACTTTTAAAAGGGAGATAGGCCAATCATTTCTGGGCTTTTATTCTGCTTAAGTATGGGAATAATGTGAGCTTTTAACATTTCCCTCGTATCTCCTGTTAAACGGATCTAATTAAATATCTTGGTAAGGATCCCTTTAATATTGTTTGCTAATGACGTGTATATAAAAGAAATTTACTAAAATGGTCTGGTCCGGGTAATTTATTCGCTTTGAGTTTTCTTATGGCTGTATCGAAGTCATTTAGAGTAATATCTCCATTAAGTTTGATTAATTGCTCAGCAGAAATTTTAGGTAACGTTTATAAAAAAATCGTGAACAATTAACAGGGGACTGTCTCTCTGGTAAATTATACAAAGCCAAGCAGAAATGCCACAGTAAAGGAGACTATATTTAAAAAAGAAAAACTTCCACAACAAGAGGACATAGTCTTAAATTAGAGGGACAAAGGTTTAAAAATAATATCCGGAAGTATTACTTTACTGAGAGGGTAGTGGATGCATGGAATAGCCTTCCAGCTGAAGTGGTAGAGGTTAACACGGTAAAGGAGTTTAAGCATGCGTGGGATAGGCATAAGGCTATCCTAACTATAAGATAAGACTAGGGACTAATGAAAGTATTTAGAAAATTGGGCAGACTAGATGGGCCGAATGGTTCTTATCTGCCGTCACATTCTATGTTTCTAAATCCTTAAAGGCTTTGCCATTTTTTTTCTGGATTTAGAGTATCACTGCCATAAATAATCTTAGACTATTTTCTTTGCTCTTTAATTTTTTTTTTAAATCTATTAGAGTAGTTTATAAGCCTTGCTCTCTTAGAGCGTTCAAATTATATTTTGCTTTCCGAATTAAAATGTTATTAATCTGGTTCCTCTCCAGACAGTCCAAGTTTATATATAATTCAGACCAATGAATGCTTTGTAGTTTTTCTTGACTGCCCAATTTGATTAGGTGACCTCTAAAAGTACATTTAAAGGCACACCATATCATTGGCAGTGGTATGTCAGGGAAAAAAAAATTCTGTAAAAAATAAAAAAAAATAATTAGATCCAAACACCATAATAATTGTGTTGTGGTCTGACCAGGGAATATTGAAATCAATACTTTGATCATTTTAGTCGTATCTCTCTGTGATAAAATATGATCTATTCTAGAATAACCATTATGAGAAGATTAAAAACAGAAGTCCCTTTCCTGGGGATGCCATCTGTCCAAAAGATCATTATTCCTCAATTTCGTTAACGTCTAGCAAGATTCACTATATAGCTCTGCCTATCCTTTTTATTACAGCTATTCCTGTCTAGGGTAGGCTCCGATAAGCAATTGAAGTCTCCTAAGTAAATGATTCTTATTTGCCTTATTCTATCAACCCGAGAGACAGTCCTTAATATAAACCTGGTGAGGGGAATGGTTGGGAGCGTAAAGATTTACTATGGTAAAAATGTAATTGTTTATTTTGCATATAAGAATATGGTATCTACCTTCAATATCGGATTCTTGATGTATCTGCTTAAAAGCTAGTAACCCTTAGACCGGGGGATGAAGGGGGGGGAGAAGAAAACACTCCTCCAAAAGGTAAAGCACTATCAAAATACTCTATCCAATCTAACAAGTCCACTGTCCACAGTAGTGATGCAGAAAGATGAAAATTAAACAAGAAAAAGCAATCTAACAAAGAAACCTTATCGTAACATAAGGGGACTCTGGCAGATAAAAACACTACTGGAGCGGAAGTAATTGTCAGGATTACTAATTGATCCTGCATGCAGAATTGTATCACACCTAGGACTAAGGGTAACATGTAACTGGACCTTAGAATGTCCGGACTTAACGTCTCAAAGAATAGTCAGAATGCTAGTTGAGGTCAGGGATACAGAATCAGACAAAGCGATGAGAAAAAGCCAAAAGTCAAGGATACCAGAAATCGGCAAAGTCAAATACCAAAAAATCAAGATCAGGAACGTACTCTCATATTACCATCAGGCTTGAGCGCGCATGACGTCACACAAATGCCGACGTCATCCTCAACATGGGCAGTCGTGGGGCTATAAGGTGGCATAGATCCGCAGCGGCTGGCGTCCCTAGACATGCTGGGTTTATCAGGTATCTGGGCGCATGGCTGTAGATGGACACAACTATTCCGGTCAGGACTGTAAATACCATTAAACACATTACCATAAGCGGAAGAATTTGTTACAGTAATCACGCAAGTGATTATTCTTATATGACCGTAAGTATGCATAACCTATAAAATACACAGCATTGTAAAGGGTGACTGTCACTTTAGCCTTCAATAAAATCAGGTGAATGATATACAATTATAACTCTAAAGCACGGACCATAGATACATTTCACACCTTTATTATATGGCCTCCTTACAGTACTTACTGCCTTTTATGTGTCTATAATGGATTGTAATATGGGGTATCTTACACTTAACCAAACACCAAGAGGAGAGGAAAAAAAAAATCTTGTCTCGTGTATATTGATTCAAAAGTACCACAAGTGTTCAATAATAAAAAAAAGTAAATCCAAACTTGATCATTATTACTCCAACTCAATCTCCTATCCAATCCTGGCCACCCGACACATGGGTGGGAGAGAGGGGGAGAGGAGATGTTGAGAACAAACCACATCCTGTTAATAAAGTTCAATCTCTTTAATTATTGAGGTGTTGACATTTTTGTGAATGTCAATGTATAAGTGCGTAGAAGTGTTAAATTAATTATATGCGCATCGTATTTCATATTTAGAAAAATGTATATGTGGATTAACCTCCAGACAATGTAAAACTTGCTGTATCACCTAATATTACCCTTATTCTGGATTGTATGGTGAACCCCTTCTCTAGCCCATCCAACCCCCTTTCCTTTCGATTTCCCTTCCACTTAACTGCAACCATAGAATTTCAAGTTTTATTTACATTCTTTTCCCTTTCTTTCTCTCTCCCCCCCTTCACAAATTTTCCCTTTCCTCCTCTTTCCTTTTCTCTCACCTTCCTTTTTCTTTTTTGTGTGAACAAGTGCAGTGTGTGTATATGTGTGTGTGTGTGTGTGTGTGTGAAGTGCGAAATATAGACTTTAGTGTAATTGAGGATACTATGTTGTGGCAGACCTCTCTGCCTTTGGATTACTGTTTAAACCTGATTTGTCTGTTTGGTTTTTGTTTGCATTCACCCAAATAAGAATAAACTCTCGAATGGCAGGCCACCCAGCAGTGAAGTGTGTTGCTTGTTAACCTTTCTGCCCTCATTAACATTGTGGTTAATCACAGACTCTTCCAACTCCCGAACGGTGGACAGTCGAACAATCTTGGACAGCCGAACGCTGAGCGGTGTTCGTCCACAAACTCATGGAACTGATTTTGGAGACTGCTTCCCACGAACACCACTGAAATCACGACCCTTCTTCATTCTGTTCAAGGTTCATACGAATGCCGCGCAGTGCGGTAAAGTGACAATGCACAAACAGAACTGTACCAGGTAGCAAACCCATGGAGTTCATTTGCTTAGTCGAGCGCACGATGTACCAGACTTTAACTCCATGGTGATTGTATGGGATCTGAGCACTGTTTGGTTATATTGAGCGTTAAGATCTAAGTTATCTGGGGATACGTTAAATGTGTGAGTTCCGTTCGGTATATTTGGAAATATGTATTTTTATGTGTTTTTACCAGTATTGTAACATGGAGGATATTCTTCATATTACTTCAAGCACTTAACCCAATTATCTCCAGGATAGAGAGGAGGAGCTATACTGTTCATGTGGCAGTGTTTTATACTGTAAATGTAGCTGATTGGCTAATGCACAAAACTGTCTCAGTCTTCCACAAGGTCCCTATGGGAATGTCCCTTGCTGGAAGACCTGCATAAAAGGCTGACATGTAGCCCCCATTAAACAGATCCTGCTTGACCTTCAATACAGAGCCTCGTCTTATACTTGGGGGGATAATTTGTATGTTTCCTGTTCGGCGCTTAGGAGTGTTCGGTAGCTGACTTCACGTTCAGGAAAAGGAACAGCTTTGACAGCATTAACCCCTTCCCTACTCAGGGTGCCCTTATATACATATAATCCAGAAAATATAACCCTCTATAAAATTTCTAATAGGAATAGCTAGGATATAGTTAAATGAAACATTCAGTTTCCATACTTTTGACCACCTTTTAATGTACGCGATGTGCATGCATTATCACTCTGGTTGGGAGATATAATCACCAGTAAGTTCCATAGGTTGCCAAAAATGAATATTGGTCAGAGCATCTCATAAAACCAATTAAATATAAAGGAAAAAAACAGGAGAGACAAAAAAGTAAACACCAAATATAAGTTCCCAACCAACCATCCATCTCAAGGCAGATCCCCAGAAGAGAGGACAGATGGAAGGGGGAGGCACAGAAAAAAAAAACTATTGATAATTAAGTTATTACTCCAAATTATTGGAATCTAACCTTTGCTGGAGTGAGGGAGGGTCCTTAAAGAATTCAGATCTCTTTATTTTAAAATCTTAATCCTGTTGGGAAGGACCATATGTAGCTTATCTCATTGTTTCTCAATGTCATGGTTTGGTCATGAAAAGCCTTCCATGAGTTCCTGGTCCCAACAAATAAGTCATCGAATATTTTAGTTATTTGTATTTAGAGCCTGTCACGGATTTCTGTCTCCAAAAGCAGACTTAAATTTTAGTGTAGACAAGCTATAACCTCTCTTGATACTTGAGCCGGGAGTGATGTAGGTTTATGTATCCTATAAATTATTTTCAATTAGATTATCCTTATTGTCCCATTTGAGACCTAGAAATATAACAAGATCTTCCACATAATTCTCCAAATTCTCAGTGGTATTTCAGGGATCCCTCTTATTCCTATATTACGTCGGACTCTGTCTTCATATTCTGCTTGCTTAGTTTCTATATATCCCAGCTTCCATTCTTGTTGTGAATTAAATTGGGATATTGAGTTTTCAACTTCTCTTCCAAACATTAAATTTTAGTCGTCATGTTCGTCAGTTCTCCTTTAAAATCATCTGTTCTAGTTTGGATCTCCTCCTTAACTTTGGATAGTTGGATATCAAAGCAGGCATTCAGATGCTCTTGGTCCAAAAATGTGAGTTCTTTTAACATGCTTGACATGATTCCCTTTTATTCCAGAAGTTTGGTCCTTAAGGGGTTAAAGTAACCTCTAGGGCCTCTTTACCGATGTTAATACTGTGTCACTTTGTTCATTACTGTGGCTTTGTATTGCATGTTGGCTCAATCTTCTGTTTTTGTCTTGCAAGGGAGATAGGAAGTTTGAAAGGCGTTTATCAGCTTTTGGATCAATTTTCCTTTGGATTTCTTTTTTTGCTCCTTGTTTGAGGTCATCTTTTTTTTGGTTGCCATTGCAATTGGTTAGCTTGGAAAGCTTAGTAAAAGTGAGAGAAGGCAAAATATCTGGATAGCCAGGCCTCTGAGTATACAAGGAAACGGCAGCTTCACATAAGCAGTGCACAGTATAGAGCTGGATCTGTCTTGAAAAATAAAAAATAAATCACTCTTAAACTTGACTAAGATTAATTTTGTAGAAGATGAGGCCTGTCACTTAGTAAGTATAACTTGTAGGTGTAAATGATGGCGATCAAGCTAGCATTCTCTCCTCAATAGCTTAGGCTAGACAGGTGTATAGGTTTGTGTGATAGACAGTTATGATAGATTTGTTATGTAGCTTTAATTATATTTGTAGCGGAGAGCTAGTATTGCATAGCCTATCTCCACTTTAGATCCCAGTAAGGCTCAGGAACAAGTAGTTATAAATCCACAGAGTAATAATTCCAGCAGGCAAAAAGTCTCCAACAATATCCCAAACTCAATCCCAATGACTGGACGACACACAGCATCAGTAGCAGAACTAAAGATTTATTCACAGCAGCTCCTTATAAAGGATTCTCCCATGCAAGGGAGGGATTTACAGTAATTAAGACAGTAGCCAATAATACAGAGGTTCCCTCCCCTACTTTCCCTCCCTTCAGTGTGACACTTAATCCACTTAATCCTGGTACCTTTCCCCTGTTTCTTGGATGTACCCCAAAACCATGGGGTACCAGGACTTAAGTGGAATCCCCTGATAGCCCTGGTCTGGGTGACCAACATACTCGAAATTCACCCAGATCAGACCACGGGTTCGGGAGTTATAGGTAATAAACGATTTGACCGACCGCACACGACTATGTAGCCGAAAGGAGTTCCATGTATTTTGGCCCTGCGGTCGGTCTGCGTTCAGGAGGTAAAACAGGTAGAAATCCTTGCCATCCATATATAATACCGGGTTCGCACGAACTCCCTTGTTCGGTATATTGAACTCACCGAACAAGGAGTCGATTAGCCCTTCCGTTCGTGAGTTCTGGAGGTCTCAGCGGTGTTCGCACAATTGAGTGTCCGATTTGGGTTCCAGACACTCGCCGACCAAACACCGCTGAGAGTTCGTGCATAAGATGGCCGCCGCCTCGTGTTTGTCTACCGAATGGCGGCCACCCAGATGCAGCAATAAAACATCAAGTAACTGCGGTTAGAAAGGGAATAAGGGTTTAACTAGGGACACACTTCTTCTCTGAGGTGGTCTATGCAATCGGTAGTTTCCATTCGTATAAACTATGAAGGAAACTACCGAACTAACATACGAACATATATGCAGTTTAAACATGCGAACAGTCTTTAAAATATAATTCTGGCGGACAGTCACAGGCCATCTGCTACAATATTGATATGCTCCCAGTACTCCCAAGTGCTCCTGGTATGCTCAACAAGGAGAGAGGGGAAAAAGACTCCCAATATGCTCAGCCAAACAAAAAAAACACTGAAAAAATGATGTTAACCAGAAAATCAGGTACCTAAAATCAGCCAATTATGATGAGCAATTGCTCACATGCTGGGACTCAGCTGTAATTGAAATTAGTTGAGGAAGTCTCAATATATTATTACTTCGCCAATATAATGTAAAATTTTGTTAAACATCAACAACCAGGCTAGATTTATAACTTAGCTTGCTCTGGCTCCAAATGCTTCGGTTGTAGCAGAAACTCCCAGCTCTCAGCAGTGGTCTCAGTGGTGTATCAGACTGACCCCCCCTGGGGCAGGCAGCGGGCACGGACTCCTTGACCTCTGTCCAGTTTTCTTCAGCTCAAATTTGGACTCTCTCTCCAGACAGTTACTTCTTCATCAGCAAGCATGTAACAGCACCCGCATGCTCTCTTCTGATGGCCCCTTACAAACGCTGTCCTCCCTGCATCACCAAGCGGACATGCACGATGTGGTAGCATGTGTAGCACGCTGTCCTCCCTGCATCACCAGCGGACATGCATGGTGTGGTAGCGTGTGTATCATGCCATCACAGGCAGCCTGATATACACTATTCTCTGTTTCTATCTCTGTTTGTCTGATATACACTATTCACGGTTTCTGTGTTTGGCTGATATACACTATTCTCTGTTTCTGTCTGTGTTTGGTTTTAGATTCACATTTTTGTCTGTTTTGTTTATTTCACTAGGATCAGCCAGGGAAAACCATTGTTACCATTTATGCTAAAGCCAATCACCCAGAAGTTATCGGAGAGAAGATCACATTGGGCCATCACTATGAAGAAATTCCAAGCACATCTCTGGTAAAGGTCAATATTAATCAGACAAAAACAGCAATATATTATTAATAATATCAGTATCAATATCCCCAGTTTGGATTAATAAATATACTCAATGTTTGACTTGGGACAATTGGACTGCAATATCTGGGCTTTATTCTCAAGGTTAATTGATGTCCAGATATTGCAACATACAGTAGAACTCATATATAAAGGGTTCCTTGGTGCAAGAATTGTTTTTGGTTCCTCTCTAGTGCAATAGTGGCCAAACAGTAAATCCTCATATGTCGTACTACTCAACAATGCTTTTTTAGCTGGGATCTACTATATTGACCATCCTCGCAGAGTAGTGTTTGTGTGTTTTAATTGTAGGAATGTAATTGCATGGAGTATATGTGTGGGTGTAGGGGTCTGTTTGTATGTTTTGTTGCCATTGGAATGCAGAAGTGTTCTTGTATGTACTGTCTGTATTTGCAGGTGTGCATTTGTATGTAGTGTTAGCTGTTAAATACAGGTGTGCTTTTGTGTGTAGTGTTGATGTTTTAATGAAGGCATGTGTTGTGGTTTGCGTTTTTGGATGAATTAGTGTGCTCAATTAAACAGGTTTCACAGTAACTGCTGTGTTAAACATTCAAGAGCACCAAGATGAATGCCGATCATGTGCTTCAGAGAGCATCAGAATGGCCACCAGCCATGTGTCCTGGTGTAACCTAGTTACTCACAATAGACATCACCTAGTTACGCTAACAATAGACAGCAATATAGTTACTGGAAGCCCATATATGATTGCAAGCATTCAAAACTAGCATTTTATTTAGATTATTAGCTGAATCAGGTATTTTGGCAGAGATATATCCTAACAGGTAAAACCCAAATGACAATCACGCAGAGTGCAGCAAAATATAAAGTTTAATAAAAAATGTCAGAGAAAATATAACAAATATTAATAAACATAGCTAAAGTATTGTAATATTAACTAGACTATTCTCTTTTGAGGTGCTAATGATATATTTCCCATGATTAGATTTCTTGGATAGCCTTTGATATGTTGCAATCTAAATAAAAGTATAAAAAATATAAGTATATTATACAGTTTTATACTTTACATCCCATGATCTTAGATGAAATGGAGATACAGGTTTCTGCTGCTCCTGGATAAAATAAAAATGGGCCTAGAGTACACACTTGCAGCCTGAGAAAATGTCTGCCAGAAGAGACCTGTGAAGAGCTAACACTTACACATTAACATATGCACTATTACACTCACTGACTTATATACACGCACTGACGCAGAGATTCACACCCTTACATACACTGACACACACATACAGTGAGGGAAGAAAGTATCCTCTACGGATTTTGAACGTTTGCCCACTGACAAAGAAATGATTAGTCTATAATTTTAATGGTATGTGTATTTTAACAGTGAGACAGAACAACCAAAAAAAAAAAAAAAAATCCAGAAAATCGCATGTCAAAAAGTTCTAACTTGATTTGCATGTCAATGAGTGAAATAAGCATTTGATTCCCTATCAATCAGCAAGATTTCTGGCTCCCAGGTGTCTTTTATACAGGTAACGATCTGAGATTAGGCGCACTTTTAAAGGGGGTGCTCCTAATTATTATTATTGCCATTTATATAGTGCCAACAGATTCCCTAGCGCTTTACAATATAAGGGGGGGTGTGGGGAGATTTAACTATAAATAGAACAATTACAAGAAAACATACAAGCACAATAGATTGAAGACCCTACTCAAATGAGCTTACAGTCTATAGGAGGTGGGGCATAAAACACACCAGGACAGGAAATAGCAATCAAATAACATGGGAGTGAAGCAGAGCTGGAGGAGAGAGTAGAGTGCTACAATTTAAGATGGCGCAAGGGGCAAGTATGTGAGGTAGAGGTTACTCTGGGAGGCCATGAGCTTTCCTAAAGAGATGGGTTTTAAGGCACTTATTTTTCACGATTAAAGACTAGGGGAGAGTCTGATGGCAGTAGGCAGGCTATTCCATAGGAAGGGAGCCACCCACGAGGAGTCCTGCAAGCGTGAGTTGGCCGTATGGGTAAGAGCTGTGCACAGGAGAAGGTCCTGGGCAGAGCGGAGAGACTGAAAAGGGACCTGCCTATGGATCTGTGAAGAGATATACGAAGGGCTAGAATTGTTCACTGCTTTATAGGAATGGATTAGTACTTGGAATTGACTCCTGTAGGATACAGGAAATCAATTTAAGGACTGACAGACGGGATAGGTGTCAGAGGAGTGACTAGAGAGGGAAATCAGTCTAGCGGCAGCATTCTTTACAGACTGTAGCAGGGCAAAACTGCTTTTGGGAAGACCAATCAGGAGAGGGTTACAATAATCCATGCGAGAAATTACTAGAGCATGGACAAGCTCCTTAGTAGCATCTTGCGTAAGAAAGGGGTGGATTCGGGCTATGTTAAGAGTTGGGATTTAATTATAAATAGGACAATTACAAGAAAACTTACAGGAACGATAGGTTTAAGAGGACCCTGCTCAAAATGAGCTTACAGTCTATAGGAGGTGAGATGTAAAAACAATAGGGCAGAATATAGCAATCAAATAAGGTGGGAGTGAAGCAGAGCTGGAGGAGAGAGTAAAGTGCTGCTATTTAGGAGAGAGCAAGAGACAAGTATGTGAGGTAGAGGTTAGTCTGGGAGGCCAGACTAGGGGAGATTCTGATGGCGGTAGGCAGACTATTCCATAGGAATGGAGCCGCCTGTGAGAAATCCTGCAAAAGTGGGTTGGCCATATGGCATGGGCAGAGTGGAGAGACCAAGAAGGGGCATACCTATGAATCTGTTTAGAGATATAAGAGGGGCTAAAATTGGTCAATATTTTATAGGTATGGGATATCACTTTGAATTGACTCCTATAGGATACAGGAAGCCAATGTAAGGACTGACAGAGGTGTGAGAGGACCGACTAGAGAGGAAAATCAGTCTGGTGGTAACATTCATTACAGACCATAGTGGGGCAATATGGTTTTGGGAAGACCAATTAGGAGAGGATTACAGTAATCCATCCAGGAAATTACTAGAGCATGGACAAGCTCCCTAGTAGCATCTTGTGTAAGAAAGGGTTATGTTTTTAAGATGGCATCTACAGGATGTGGTAACATTCTGGATGTGAGGGTCAAAGGTGAGGCCAGAATCAAGTATGACACCAAGACAGTGCGCTTGCAAGGATGGACTGATGTGGATACCACTAATTTGAAGGGAGAGCGAAAGAGGAGGATCAGTATTAGGAGGAGAAAAGACAAGGAGCTCAGTTTTAGAGAGATTGAGTTTCAAAAAGCAGAAGGATGTCCAGTCAGAGATGGAAGAAAGGCAAGTAGTGACACGTTACAGGTTGGCAGGGAAGAGGTCCGGGAAAGAGATCTATCTGGATGTCATCAGTGTACAGGTGGTAGTGGAATCTAAATGAGGTAATAAGTTTGTCAAGAAATGCAGTGTAGAGAGAAAATAGAAGTGGACCAAGGTGGAATCCAACCAAAACAGGACAAAGGGAGGAGGTATCATTAGAAAAGGAGACACTGAATGAGCGTTGGGAGAGATAAGCGGAAAACCATGAGAGGACAGAGTCACAGAGACCAAGTGATTGAAGAGTTTGAAGAAGGAGAGCATGATCAACGGTGTCAAAGGCAGCAGAGAGGTCAAGAAGAATTAGTAGGGAGTAGTGGCCTTTGGATTTAGCTGCAATTAGATTAGTGACTTTCAAGAGCAGTCTCAGTAGATTGGAGGGGGCAGAAGCGACATTGAAGATGGTCAAGGAGAGAGTTGGAATTGAGGAAGTGAGCATACGGTAAAGACAAGTCTTTCCAGAAGCTTTGAGGAAAAAGGGAGCAGGGATATAGTTAGAGGGGGAGGACAGGTCCAGAGATGGTTTTTCTCAAGATAGGTACTACAGTGGAATGTCTAAGATCAGCAGGGACAACACCAGAAGAGAGAGTAGTTGAAGATGTGTGTTAAGGAAGGCACAAGACAAGGGGAGAGAGATCTGATAAGGTGAGATGGGTCGATCAAGTCGGCAAGTTGTGGGGTGAGAGGAAAGGGGAAGCGCAGCCACCTCTTGTTCATAGCCGGGGAGAAAGTCTGAAGGGTAGGAAAGGCATTATCTACGTATGGTTGAGAAAGAGAAATGCAGGGTGGGAATAATTCTTTCCTAAGCTGTTTGATTTGGTCAGTAGAGTAGCACGCAAAGCTATAGGCTGTAAGGTTAGTTTGAGGGGTAGCCACAGCAGGGCGAAGAGAGTTAAAGGTGTCAAAGAGACACCTGGGATTGTGGGAGCATGAACTAATGAAAGAGGAAAAGTGTGACTCTTTGGTGAGGGCAAGGGCTGCACTGTATTAACACAATATGAATCTATAATGGAGAAAGTCTTACTGGGTGTGAGACTTCCTCCAGGAGTGTTTAGCACAATTGGAGGATCTTTGCAGGTAACGTGTTGATTTTATTATGCACGGTTGGGAGCAAGTCCACCTCGGGGTGCATGTTTGGAGCCAGGCTGCAGTGTTCAAGGTAGAGGTGAGGGTAGTGTTATATGTGGAGATGGCCAGTGAGGAACAAGAGAGGGAAGGGATGGATAGGAGTTGTGAATCAATATCTAATCTCAGCTCCTTACCTGTATAAAACACACCTTTCCACAAAAGCAATCAGATACCAAACTCTCCACCATGACCAAGACCAAAAAGCTGTCCAAGGATGTCTGGGACAAGATTGTAGACCTACACAAGGCTGGAATGGACTACAAGACCATCGCCAAGCAGCTTGGTTGAGAAGGTGACAACAGTTAATGCGATTATTCGCAAATGGAAGAAACATAAAATAGTGTCAGTCTACCTTGGTCTCGTGCTCCATACAAGATTTGACCTTCATGATTATGAGAACAGTGAGGAATCAGCCCAGAACTACATTGGAGGATCTTGTTAATGATCTCAGGGCAGCTGGGAGCATAGTCCCCAAGAAAACAATTGGTAACACCCTACGCCATGAAGGACTGAGATCATACATTGCCCGCAAGGTCCCCCTGCTCAAGAAAGCACATG